TGTCTCTGGGCCAACCTTTAGTACGATATGGCTTTGTTGAAGAGCCGAGTGGAGAGTGCTACTTTATCTGGACTGCCCACCATGCCCTGTATGATGGCTGGACTGTGAGTACACTCAGCAAGCGACTAGCTGAGATCTATCACTCGAAACAGTCTCGATCCTCCGTCCCCTTCACTCGCTTTATCCAGTATCTGCAAAACGGCCGCCCTGACACGGCCTTTAGTACTGATTACTGGCGCGACCAACTGGAGGGCGACGTCATGGCCAGCTGGCCTCGACGACCAACGGATATCCAGCCACTCCCGCAAGAAGACCTCCAACAGGTAATTTCACTCCCGGCCACTCAAAGACAATGCAAAGTGACAATGTCTACTATCCTGCGTGCTGCATGGTCACTGGTGGTAGCACAGTACTCTGGGCATGGGGATATAGCCTTTGCTGCCACTGTGTCTGGCCGTAACGCTAGGGTTCGGGGGATCTCTGACATTGCGGGTCCAACAATCACTACGGTGCCCATTCGGATAAATGTGGAACAGACGCAAAGTGTGGCCCGGTACCTCGAGGCTATCCAGCTGCAAGCAACGAACATGATCGAACACGAGCATACTGGTCTCCAAGGCATCAAGGCACTTGTCCCCGAGCTTGCGCCTACGCTTGACACGGGCACCTTACTCGTAATTCAAGCTGCTGATGAGAGCGGTTCTGATGGACAGCTAGCCTTCCCGGGCATGGAAACGATCCCTATGCCGATCGAACCCTTCAATGCGCATGCCATCACTCTCGAATGCAAGCTCGGACAACAGCAAGTTATCTTCGACGTTCACTACGACAAGAATATCATCCCGTGTTCCCAAATGAAACATGTGATGGACTATTTTGCCTGCTTGATCCACCGATTGTGCGAGCCGGTGGTCCAATCGGAATCGGTAGCCGATATATTGGCGATTGACCAGGGGAGTCAAGAACAGATATTACAATGGAACACAGAGGTACCTGCACGACTAGAGAAATGTATTCATGAGATGGTTCGAGAACAGGTGGATCGCTCCCCCTCAGGGACCGCTATCAGTGCGTGGGATGGAGATCTCACATACGGTGAATTTTACTCCGCAGCCGCACGTCTGGCACACCATCTCGTGTCTCTCCACGTCAGTCCCGAAAGCGTCGTTGGGTTCTGTATGGAAAAATCAAAATGGGGATCAGTGGCGATGCTGGCTATCATGCAAGCAGGAGGTGCCATTATGCCTTTGGGGATAATGCACCCTTTGGCCCGCATCGAATCCATAATCGAAACCTCTCAGGCACGCGTCATTGTAGTGAGTCCAGAGCAAGGGGAGCGACTGCGGGGTCTGAGCTCCTTTGCTCATGTCAAACTCGTCGTCCTCGATCAGGAGTCTTTCGATGGTCTTCCATATTACACTCAACCCCCAGATACTGGAGTGACACCTTCGAACGCGTCCTGGGCAATTTTCACTTCTGGTAGCTCTGGCATTCCTAAGGGCGTTATCATTGAACACGGGACCATGTCGACAAGTCTAGACGAGCAGGGACGGTGGTTGGGACTCACGCCGAGTACTCGATTTTTGCAGTTTGCATCATACACATTCGATAACATCATCACTGACACCTTCGCCACAACAGCATTTGGAGGCGTGGTATGTGTGCCCTCCGAGGAGGACCGCATGAACCGGCTCACTGAGGTCATGGCAGACATGAACGTCAACACAGCGATGCTTACATCCACCGTGGCCCAGCAGATCGCTCCGATAAGCCTTCCTGCCATGCGCAAACTCATTTTGACTGGCGAATCAGTCCGTGCAGATGTTGTTAGCCTTTGGTTGGACGATGTCGAAGTCTACAACGCCTATGGGCCCACGGAAGGCTCGATGAGCACTTGTACCCGGCCTTATACGAGCGCCTACGAAGTCAGCAACATCGGATTTCCACTGGCCACACGTTTATGGGTCACACAGCCCAACAACGACAATCTTCTCAGCCCTATCGGAGCCCCAGGTGAGCTCTGGATTGAAGGTCCCTTCCTCGCACGGGGCTATCTTGGTGACCCAGCCAGAACGGATGCGTCATTTATCGTCGATCCGGAGTTTACAGGGCGCCTGAACTTGCATGGACGACGACTCTATCGCACTGGCGATCTCGTCCGGCAGAACGAGGACGGCACATTGATCTATCTCGGCCGACTGGACTCCCAGATCAAAATCCGGGGCCAGAGAGTCGAACTAGGCGAGATCGAACATCAAATCTTGCACCATCTACCGGGCGTCAGCGCTGTAGCAGTCGTGCCACTCACAGAAGACCAAGATCAAAGGATCACCCTGGTGGCAGTTGTCGAGTTTGCGGCAGACACTGCGCATCGCCTTGTGCCGATAACACCATCAGGAATTCTGCCGCTATCAACAGAGCTGCAAACGGTATTTGCGAAGCTGTACCAGATATTACTGCGAAAATTACCCCTTTACATGGTTCCGCCTGTTTTCCTTCCGATTGCTGAAATGACTCGCAACTTATCTGGGAAGCTGGACCGCAAGTCTTTACGTGCGCTACTGGTAAGCATCGAAGGCGATAACATTCATGAGTATCGAGTTAGTGATAGACCCAAAGTGGCCCCGTCCACCAACATGGAGCGAGACTTGCAGGCATTATGGGCTAAAGGGCTTAATCTCAAGCTGGAAAGTATTGGGGCCAATGATGATTTCTTCCACATTGGTGGAGACTCCCTCGCGGCAATGCGCATTGTTGCAGCTTCGCACTCTCGGAGCTACACTTTGACCGTAGCCGACATCTTCAAGTACTCCTGCCTCTCAGACCTGGCTCTGATTTTGAGCGCTCAAGCAGAGAATGAAACCCCTGTCGTTTCAGATGATGAAGTGGCTCCATTCTCGTTAATCGGTTCTGACAACCCCGAAGAATTTATCCAAAATGTGGTATACCCGGTCTACAATTGCAGCACCCGCGATGTTATTGACATCTTGCCGACCACCGACTTTCAAGCTATGACGGTTGCAGGTGTTCTCACTACCCCCAGGGCTGCAAACTGTGCGCATTTTCTCCTCGATGGTAATGGCACCTGTGACATTGAGACATTGAGAAAAAGCTGTTCAGATCTGATCAAAACCCTTCCCGTATTACGTACGGCCTATGTGTTTGACCAGGGCCGACTTCTCCAGGTGATTAAGAGGGTCCATGAGCCCAAAATCCGGATCTTCAGCACCGATCGCTCCATCGAAGCGATGACGTCCGAGATCATCAACCAACAATTGCTTCCGCCTCCCCGCCTAGGCGAGGCTTTCACCCAGGTTGCCATTATTGAGGAATCTCGAAGCTCCCGACACCGAGTTCTCTTGCGAATGACACATGCCGAGTATGATGCTGTCTCCGTGGAGGCAGTCTGGGAAAGCCTCAAGCGGCTCATCGAAGGAACAGTCCCTCACCCACAACCGTCGTTCTCAGCTTTCCTCTACCACCAGCAACAGAGCATTGCACCGAAGACCTACAAATACTGGACTGATCTTCTTTCTGGCTCGTCTATGACGATCCTCGGTAGCTCTTCCACGGCTATTGGTCAATATCCGTCCCAGGTCGTACACTTAGCCCCTCAAACTATTAAGTGCGTCAACCCTCAATCTGAAGGCATGACTATTGCGATTCTGGTGAAGGCGGCATGGGCAGTCACCCTCAGTCGCTTTTCCAACAGCCAAGATGTTGTGTTCGGTGACACGGTGTCCATGCGGGGCACTGTCAAGGCCTCCCTTATGAACGCCATGGGCTGTTGTGTCACACTCCTCCCGGTCCGTGTTCAGCTCTCCAATGAAGCCACTGTTCGGGAGCTTCTTCACAAAATCCGAGGTCAGCAGATTCAAAGTCTCGATCACGCTCAACTCGGATTCCGGGAAATTCTACATGAATGTACCGACTGGGTGACCTCGACGCGCTTTACCTCTACTTTCAACCACATATCGGAGCAGACCCGTACCCTCGACGTGGGCAGTCAGGAATACGCTATCTCGAGCTTCGAGACACCTGATGCGACGTGGACGGGCGATGTGGGCGTCACTGCGGTCTCTCGGAATGGTGAGCTAGACCTCCGAATTTCCTACCGGTCAGGAAGCATATCCAAGGAGATGGCATTGAAATACTTGCGTACCTTGGGCGATACCGTTCGGACCTTCCTAGACGACTCATCCCAAACGTTGAATGAGACGATGTCACCGTTCGAAACGCCAATCATCCCCCCAATGACCAAGCCCCAAAAGAAGGGACCGATTGTGCAACTGACGAAGCTCATCTCGAAAGAAGACGGCATGACGTGCGATAAGCTACAAAAGACACGGGAGTGGGAAGCTGTGCTCCAGCATCGTCGGGGAGTGGAAAGTAGAAAGACGCGCATTCCTTCGTTTGCACAGAGAGGTGGCGATCTCTTGGATGCCGTCTACTTATCATCTCTTCTGGGTGACGGAGATCGATCGATCTCGGCCCTGGATATTTTAGCGGAGTCACAGGAAGATGGGGATGGCCCCGTGGACGCTCCGCCATCGAAGAAGAGGCGCACGTCTCTCAAAATGGTGTGGGCCAGGTTGAGGAAAGGATATGCCCGGTCGATGGCGATTCAGTCGAGCAGACACTAAACCTTCGTTACTTTGTTGATGTACGCATGTTGCTATTTACTTTTTACCGTGACTTCAATAAATTGTATGTAATATTTGCATTATCACTCAATTCTAAATCTTGTGTCTATGACAAACTTCACATTTCTACCCCTTTGATTCAGACAGACAGGAGCGAGGGCTTCCGAGGCCTGTGTCTGGTTTAGTCCAAATAGGACGAACTATTTTCCCACTTGGCAGTGGAACAGGCCACTAAAGGCCTAGCAACAGGTATACTATAAAAGAAGCGCTGCGCACCTCCTCCAGGGCTTGCCCCTGGAAATAATAATCCCAATCCTCTCCTTCAGTCTTCAAATATACGATATACTGTTTACCATCATGCCTCGAGTCTCGTACAAAGGACTTCTCAATGCTACTGAGCAAGACCTCCAGTCATTGACCAAAGCCGCCCTTGTGGATGGGTACTTTGATCTGGATCTTGACTGTCCTGAGGCTGTGAGCCTGCGACAAGATGTTCGTTATCTCGAGTCTTTCTCGGAAATGATTTTCGATGTTCCCACGCCGCTGAAGGAGCGCTATGACTTCAAGACGCTGGGGCGATTTCGGACCACGGGGTAAGCGACGACCGAAATCAAAATGCAATCCCTAATTTTATAACGTGGGGCTAATCAAAGTTCCCCGCGGCTGTTTAGATTCAAGTCCCTGGGCGTCGAAGAGGGCGCGCATGCCGGCCAGCCCGACGGATTTGAGATGTTCATGGTACGTACGTCTTGGAGCTGCTGTCACTCACCCTGTTCGACTAACCTGTAAACACCTACAGTTGCCCCAAAATGAGCTCCTGTTGCCTAGCTATCAGCCCGCACTACAGTCCCCAGACCTAGTCTTCTCCAACCGCGAACCCCTCACACGCTGCATGAAGCGGTACGAGGAGGCCGCCCAGCTGATCCTCCGCCGTGTGGGCGAGGTTTTGGGGCTGGGAAATGCGCTGTTGGCTGCCCACCAGCCGGACGCGCCCTCGGTCACAAACCTAGGCTTCCTCAAATATCCGCCACAACCCACTGGATCCCGCAACTTTGGACACATTGCGCACACCGACGTGGGCACCCTGACTATTCTCTCCGCCACAGCTCGGGGACTCCAGATCATGGATGTTGAAAAGCAAGACTGGGTCTTCGTGGAGCCAAATTCACAGCAACTCTTCGTGCAGTTCGGCGACTGTCTGAAATTCCTTTCCCAAGGACGCTGCATCCCTTCTATCCACCGCGTCGTTCCTTGTCACACCGAGCAGGCCACCAAATACACTCTAGCTTATTTTGTGCGACCAAATGAGAAGGCTATCATTACCAGCGATGATGGGACAGTTTGGGCGTATGAGGATTACCACTGTCGGAAGTTTGACGCCTTTGCGCGCCCGCTCACGCATGTCCGACCTGAGGGCGAGCAAGAGATGATTTCCATTCGCCAGCTCAATTTGGCTACCCGTGTAGGAGCTGCATGATGGAATTCATTTATACCTCTTTCCTTGTATTCTCATTCATATAGCAAGTGGCTAAATAAAGTTCTTACTTGCATAACTGCGTGCTAGCCCGCTCAGATTTTAGCCTACGATAAGATGGTCGATGATTAACTTTGATGGTATAATAGTATATATATTATATACTAGGAATGCATACTATGGAGGGACGAACAGCTATATTTACTTTACTAGTACTACCTTACAAATCCTTAGATATAAACTATATAGTAAAACTACAGTATAACTTGCCTCCTACTCTAATAAGGAGATAATAAAGATATTATGAAAATATTTTTTACATTATAGATTATCTTATATCTACCTCCCAAGTGTCAGAGTATACAATTTTCAGGTGTAAGGCCTGTCAACCGGGTAAGATACAATGACTTGGAGAGGAACGGGAATGTATTGTCTATTTGCCAAGACTAATTCTTGCCTATGCCGCCACGCTCACGTGGGAGCCATGTGACGATTCCTTGGCGGTTCATTCCCGGTACTCGACCGATGCGGTCAAGTAACTCCGTCTCCATGTTGCAAAGGATCATGTCAATTGTCAGATATGGCGCCTCTAGGCCCCATATAATCACCTTAGTTTTTATGTGGTCTAGTAGTAAAATATGCTGTATTTTTTTCCCACAGATCTTTATCCCTTACACACACGGCCTCGCTTTTTAACTGTCCTTAAGACAGGCAAGGAGTTACCATCGTCATCGCCTCTATAATTAAAGATAACCTCGATTATGAGCATTTTAGTTACTCATACAGACTAAATTACTCCATCTACGTGCTTCTCCACTAGTTTCTAGTCAATAGTAAAAGGGAATAATCGGTCGAGGTTCTTCTAGCACCGGGAGTCCGCCTTAACAGTAACAGCCGTGCCTTCAGAGCGAACTCGCTGGCCACTTTCCTTCTGCAGCATTTCTTTATTTCAAAGTATTCACCTAGTAATTTGAGGGAGCCATAACCAAATCCTTTTCGGTCACACTGTCTACCTTCTTACGGTTGAACATAAGCTTCCATGTAATCGTGTAGCACATATATCTTTCATATTCGGCATCTCCATCCCATTCGACTAATTAGAGAAAGTCGAGCTGATCCGACTGCACCTGGTCTGTGGGATAACCCGGGGCAGGACTAGGAGAGAATACGGTAGGCGTACGACCAACGTAACCTGGGCATATTGTGAATTTTCGTCGCATGGATCGCCTGTCCGGGTTTGATAGGCATCGTCACTACAAAGGCTATTGTCGTGAAGATCTTCAAGTTTGAAGTGGGGGGGGGGGGGGGGGGGGGGTACCTAAGCAAATAGAACTGAAGGAGGTTCGCCAGTAACCTCTGATGCCCAATGAAATCCAAAGCCATGTCTTGATGATAAGCAGTGGCGAAGACTTGAATAAGCTTACTGAGCCCTCTCCCATAAAAAACATATTGGATTTCTCTGCACGAGTGGAGAATGTGAATGGAAATAAGACAATTTCGGGTGTATTATGACATAACCGCGAGCAACATAGTATATCTCCTTCCAGTGAATAATCCAAACAAACGTCAAGTTGGCTATAATGCGTATTGCTTTTCTTTCTGTCTTTCTTATACACCTTTAATATGTATTTACCTCTATCCTCTCTCATAATACAGTATTATATTCTTCTCTTTATCATGGGCATCCATTTCACGCACCTTACCAAGGAGTAGTAACTGACTTGGCTATCTAGTTTCTTCACTATCTCGTCTTACATCACTTTGTGCTAATAACAACTCTGTTGCAGCTCTATTTCGTATATATAATCGTAGTATGATACTAGTATCCTAATGGTTTATAACAGCGACTAGACCCAAAATACCACCAGCAAGAGGCAGTAAGCCTCTTATACCAGTCAAAGTCGCCCATTGAGCCAAAAGTTGCTCGGAGGTCTTCTGGTCCGGCCTCGGCACGGGGGCATCAGGTGAAATTTCCTCGTCGGCGGCCCTTTCCATAAGAGCATTGTTGGTTTGGCGCATGAATAGAAGTGTAAAAGGAACGACACCGGTGACCAACGACGCTGCTGTGCCAAAGAGTAACATCGGAGCTCGAGTGACGTTGGTTCTGTTGGTACACCAAGCGAGGTATGCAAAGGCACCCGAAGTAACAACGGCTATCTTCGGACTATGGGCATGACCGCGCTGGTACATGCGGCACCATACTTTAAGTATCGCGCCATGAGACAAGCCATCTTGAGCTTGAGCCAGGAGGAGGGCGGGAACAGTGACCAATCCATGGGCTATGATTTTTCCTGTGAGATGAGTTAGCACATTATTGCCAATTAAGTCAGGGCTACTTGCCCGAAAGCCAGATTGCTCCGGTGATCGCCACGATCTCGACTGTACGTTGATGTTGTATCATTTTCTCTACCGTGTTAGGTTTGTAAGATGACGAGGATGACAGAAATCACGTCCTTGGGTCTCTGAGACCTGTTGGCACCCGAAGATAATTCAACCAGATTCAAAATGAGGGCTAATCGATGGGAGAGAATAGGTCCCATCATATTTGACGACCAAGCTCCACCGCTTGATGTCTCGGTATTTGCAGGGTGTGATGCATCAAGTAAGGAGCTCGGTTACCTCAAAGTTGGGATACCGGTTCGTGTTAATTGAAACGTCGCATGGTCTTAGCTCAGATCAGAGGCATATATGTAAGGAACTTTCTTTTCAATGGATACGAATGCTTTCGAGTATTCCACCGCGGATATCGCCACGTCGGTATACTCTCTTAGCCCATTTGGAAGAATCACGTTACAGTATCTGCCCATCCTGGCGTGTAAAAGTGCTTGATAACGCATATCCCGCCATCGGTATACCCCGGACATGGATCAATACTCCCACGCTGTCGCTTTTGCGAAGTATATGGGGGGTGAGACACGATCATTGCCGAAGCTACCCGAAGTTGAATCGTTGAGTCCACGGGTTTTGCGAGTGCTGGGGGACAATCCTGGGGTAGTGAGTCTCACTGCATAGTCTAGTCCTTTTGGAATGCACATCGATACTTGATGTGCTCCTTGCATAATTGTCTGGGAGAGCTGACAAATGATTCCAGATGCAACTGCAAGGCACCAATACGTATGTCATCGGCACCGGACTAGATCGCCTTTTGATCGACAGTGGACAAGGTCGTCCAGGTTGGGTGCTGCTGCTGTCGTCCTTGGCGAAAAAACAGAGTTTCAAGATCTGCAAGGTGCTGCTGACGCACTGGCATCTCGATCACACCGAAGGAGTGCGGGATCTGCTACGAATGAATCCGGAACTGAAAGATGCGATTTACAAATACGACCCTGACCCTTGCCAGCAACCTATCACCGATGGGGATATCTTTGCCGTGGAGGGAGCGACGGTCCGAGCAGTGTTTACACCGGGGCATTCCGCCGATCATGTCTCATTTCTCCTGGAAGAAGAGACTGCCATCTTCACGGGAGACTGCTTATTAGGTCACGGCACAACGGCAGTGGAGAACCTAGAGCAGTATATGCAAAGCTTGCTCAAGATACGGGGGCTAAATTGTCGGATTGGGTACCCGGGCCATGGAGCGCCGATTGTCAGCCTGCAAAGCCGGCTGCTAGGGGAGATTGACCAGAGACAACGTCGCGAACGGAAAATGCTGCTTGATTTGGAATCTCACGAGGGTGGTTCTGCAACTGAGGCAGAGTTGATCGAGGCGGCGTTTGGGAAGAAAGTTCCCGAGATCGTCCGGGAAAATATCCTTGCACCACACGTAAAGGAGATTCTCATGAAGATGGCACGCGAGAAACGAGTTGGATTTCGATCCAAAGGGGGACAGAAGCACTGGTTCATCAATAAGACCCACTAAGCTGCATGGTCTATGTTACAGCGATGGTATACGGATATGCGGAGGAATCATTTCTATATATTTCGATCTTGTCTTTCTTCCTCTGTAACTTCATGAATGGCGCATAGATTAACCTTTACTAAATGTGCATTAGCGTCACGTAGTTTTGGATCGACGTTGCGTTCGAGGAATGTGATCTTCGAGGAATGTGATTTGTTTGTATGGACGCGTGAATATGCTTCCATCTTTCTTATTTTCAGCTTCACCTTTAAATGTACATAGTCCCCGATGTAGAGATCGACAAGCACAAACATCGAGCATTATCCCTGTTGTGTATTGAACATTTGGGGCAGATTGACACGTATTCCAGTCGAGATGCTGAACGAATGCCATTTCGACCTTTTATACTTCCCCAGTGGAATTCCACATGATGATCTCCAAGAGCTATTCAGGCGGATTCGGTGCCAAAGTAAGACCAAACCACATGCAATTCTGCGGGATTTTCTGGAGCACGCAACTTGCATATTGCACGAAGAGTTTCGTCGGCTACCGAGGAGTTTACGAACTGTGTTGCCTCCATTGAGTAATGCCCTAGACCTAGCGGAATTGAGTATTCCGCAACGAGGACCGCTGGCGGGGGCTGTGGAAGGCGTTCTTAGCTGCTTGCTCCATATAGCGTCTTTGATCGGGTAAGTGCGTTTGTCTTATATAAAGGAGTCTCGGAGCGTGTATGTTTTGTTATAATTGCTATTTATTGACCAGAGGCAGGTACTACGAGAGCCACCCGGAGCAATATGCATTTTCCCATTCAACGACTTGCTTCACTGGGATTGGGGTAAGTCTCCTGGCCGCTGCAGCTGTCGCGGCTTCTCCTGCGTTGTCTGAGCTTCCCAAACTTGGTGCTGAGGCCATCCGGATAGCCTTCCGCATGGGGGTATTGGTACATGAAAAATCCCAATGCATAGAATCCCAGGAGCCGGGAAGCGAGCCTCTTCGCTGGGCGGCTGCAGTGATGGATTTGGACGAAGAGACTGTGCGAAAGGAACTCGAAACCTTCAACATATCCACTGTAAGCATTCATAGTGAAGGCGTCGTCCGATCCACTCACTCACTAAGATCTTAGTGCAGTTCAGTCCCCAGTCAACTGTTTATCAGTGCCGGTGGCGACGACAACATTACAATCAGTGGGCCACCCTCCAAGCTTCGGAAAGTCTTTCAAACCTCAAAACTTCTCCGTTCTGCGCGATACGCACATTTGCCTGTTTATGGCGGCCTTTGCCACGCGCCCCATATTTACAACGCTGGCCACGTCGCTTTAATTCTTGAGACAACAAATTCAGTGGTAGTGGACCGAAAAATGATAAACTCTGCTCCGCTTCTTTCCACGGGGAATGGTGAACCCCTTCAGGGAACAACTCCGCGCAATATTTTTGAATCAGTCGTTCATGGGCTTCTCACAGACTCAATCAGATGGAATATGGCGAGGGATGGTGCTCTACGATCCGTCAAAAGTGCCGGAGTGAAATGTCATGTGTATGCATTTCGGCCTTGCGCCGTGGTGGCCGATCTGGTTGCTTCGGGTGTAACCAAAGCCCCCCAGTGTACATTCGAAACTCGCGATTTAATGGAGTGGATCTTCGACCCCCAAAGTGATACCTCCCCACTCAGACAACGGGACTCAAAAATCGCCATTGTCGGAATGTCCTGCCGTATGCCCGGCGGGGCTAACGACCTGCAATCGTTTTGGGACATACTGCAGGAGGGCCGTGATGTACATCAGCGTGTCCCGACTGACAGGTATAACGTCGACAGTCATACGGACCCATCTGGAGCGACTCGGAACACCAGTCTCACCCCATTTGGATGCTTTATTAACCAGCCAGGGCTATTTGATGCGGGTTTTTTTGACATGTCACCCAGAGAAGCATCTCAAACCGACCCCATGCATCGTCTCGCGCTGTTGACTGCATATGAGGCTCTGGAGCAATCCGGGTTTGTCGCAGACCGAACTGAATCCACCGATCGAAGAGGGGTCGCGACTTTCTATGGTCAGTCCTGTGATGATTACCGGGAGGCAAATTCGGGCCAAAAAGTCGATACATACTTCATTCCCGGTGGCTGCCGGGCGTTCGCGCCAGGGCGTATCAACTACTTCTTCAAATTCAGCGGGCCAAGTTTCGACTGTGATACTGCTTGCTCCTCCAGCTTGGCAACCATCCAGATCGCCTGCACGTCGTTACTTCATGGTGAGAGCAACATGGTGGTGGCAGGAGGCCTGAATATCCTCACAAATAGCGATGGCTTCGCGGGGCTGAGTCGAGGACATTTCCTATCCAAAACAGGGGGCTGCAAGACCTTTGACTGCGACGCAGATGGCTATTGCCGGGCCGATGGGATTGGCTCCATTGTCATGAAACGCTTAGACGATGCAGAGAGAGACAACGACAACATCTTGGGCATCATATTGGGATCTGCCACCAACCACTCCGCGGATGCTATCTCTATCACACATCCACATGCCCCGACGCAGGCTAGTCTATATAGCCATGTCACGACTAGTGCAGGAGTAAACCCCATTGACGTAGACTTTGTGGAAATGCACGGTACAGGCACACAGGCTGGCGATGCAGCGGAAATGGAATCAGTCACCACGGTATTCAGCCCGAGGGCCCCAAAGCGCACACGCAAGCAGCCGCTGTACATTGGATCTGTCAAGGCCAATGTTGGACATGGAGAGGCTGCAGCCGGTATCATGGCTTTAATCAAGGTTCTATTGACCTTGCAAAAAGACATTATTCCAAAACATGTGGGTATCAAGACCGGATACAACCCGAAATTACCAGATCTCGATCCCCTAAACGTTCGAATCCCCTTCGAACAAGTGCCCTGGCCTCGCAATCCGACACGGAAGCGCTATGCAGTTGTCAATAACTTCAGCGCTGCAGGGGGGAATACAACACTCCTGCTTGAAGAGCCCCCGTTGCGATCACAATGTGAGCGGGATCCTCGAACCGCATTTACCATTGCAATCTCAGCAAAGAGTAAGATTTCTCTGAAGAAAAATCTGCACTCGCTTCTGGCCTACATCAAGTCAATGCCATCAGAAAACCTTGCAAGCCTATCATACACCACTACAGCTCGTCGCATGCATCACAACCACCGCATAGCCGTAAGTGGTGGGAGCCCTGAAACAATCATTCAAGAGCTCGAGAAATACCTTCCTACGGTGGAAACCCATCGCCCGATCGAAAGCACGCCCGTCTCCCTGGCTTTTGTCTTTTCGGGCCAAGGCACCTTTTACGTGGGCATCGGATGTCAGCTGTATGAGCACCGTTCAGATTTCCGAAAGCGAGTGCTTCAGCTCAACGACATTTGCCTTGGTCATGGGTTCCCCTCTTTCCTTGGGCTCATCACTGGGGGTGATTCACAGCAAGAATCCGACCTGAGTCCTATCGTCACCCATCTAGCAATAGTTTGCATAAGCATCGCTCTGTGCTGGGAATGGGAGAATCTTGGGGTTGAGCCTTGTGCCGTTGTCGGAGCAAGCCTTGGTGAATTTGCCGCGCTTTATGCTGCCGGAGTACTGTCTGCAAGCGACGCCATCTATCTCGTGGGAGAAAGAGCTCGGCTTATAGAAGAGCTGTGCACCCCCAACACACATGCCATGCTGGCGGTTCGAGCAACCATCGACCAAATCGACGAGGCCCTGGCTGGCACTCCGTACGAGGTAGCATGCTTCAATGGAATCCGTGACATCACTCTGAGTGGATCTGTCGAGGATATTGCCAGAATACGGCTCAGCATTGAAGACTCTGGGTACATATGTACTGAGCTCAATGTTCCCTACGCGTTCCATTCTGCTCAAATGGACCCCATTCTCGATCAATATGAGAAGATCTGCGGTGGCGTCACCTTCAAAGAACCTAAACTCCCTGTGATATCCCCTCTTATGGGTGGGTGTGTGTTCGATGGCAGCACCTTCAACCCATTATACATGCGCAACGCAACGCGAAACCCCGTTCACTTCGTGGACTCTCTTAGCAGCGCTCTGGACCTGGGATTGGTTGATGCCAAGACAGTCTGGGTAGAAGTGGGACCTCATGCTGCATACAGCCATTTTGTTCGTAAGGTGATGCCCGAGGGAACAATCACGGTGGCCAGCCTCAAAAGGGATGAAGACAATTTCCACACCTTTGCTCGTGGCATGGCAGAGCTACACAGTTTGGGGTTGAAGCTCGATTGGCAGAGTTGGCATGCACCTTTCGAGTCCCAACTGAGACTCTTAGATCTCCCGGCCTACCAGTGGAATTTAAAGAATTACTGGCTTCCATACAACGGGACCTGGATGTTAGCGAAAGATGACAATTCATCACATAGCTACAACCGCCTGACTCCCTTTCCCTCACAAACCGCACTCGTCCAGGATCTTGTCCAGGAATCCATTGCAAAGGATCGTGCCGAAGTAACTGTTCAGTCCGACATCCTACAGCCCGGTTTTTGGGAGGCCATGAACGGCCATAGAATGAACCAATGTGCAGTAGCCACATCGGTATGTTAATCTCTGCCATCATGCCCATTTTTTCTTTTTCACAACACTGACATTATGCCTCATGCAGTCAATCCATGCAGACGTTGCCTTCACCCTGTCCAACTACCTTCACTCTCGTATGAGACCAAACCTAACCGTCCCAGTCACCAATATCAAAAACATGCAAGTCAAGCAAGGACTCATCGCAAGAAAAGATCGATCCCGGCCCCAGTGGATTCAGGTGCATGCTGTGGCTGACGGGTCGACTGGCTCTGTGCAACTCTTCTGGTATGCTCTAAATAACCAAGGACAGCGGGCCCCAGATTGCTTTGCTACTGCGATTGCAGAATGGGGCGACCCTGTATCCTGGCATAACGAATGGGCCCCTACAGCCCACTTGGTACTTGGTCGGATTGAGACCTTGCGGCAGGAGGCTTCCGTGGGCAAGGCAAATCGACTATCGCAAGACTTGACATATAGTCTCTTTGGGAATTTGGTCGACTACGCAGAAAAGTATCGCGGGATGCAAAGTGTAGTTCTACACGGCATGGAAGCTACAGCCGAGATCACTCTTACTGCCAACGAGCGACCAGACCAGTGGACAGTACCACCATTCCACATTGACAGTGTCGCGCATTTGGCAGGATTCATCCTGAACGGCGGAAACGCCCTTGATTCCCGAAAGAACTTTTATGTCACGCCGGGCTGGAAGTCCATGCGCTTTGCCCGGCCATTGGTGGCTGGCGATCGTTACGTGAGCTATGTAAAGATGATGCCCATTCACAAACAGCCCGGATTTTTCGAGGGCAATGTCTTTATCATCCAAGGGGACACGGTTATTGGTTTGGTTGAGGGTATCACGTTCCGCTCTTTCCCACGATTGCTTTTGGATGAGTTTTTCAGTCCGCCTGATCTGAAGGGGGTCTCAGTTTGTCAAGAAGCCGTCTGTGAAAGCAACTTACCCGGTCCTCAGGCGTCAGCCGCTTTGCTTCATCCAGAAGTCCCTCCTAGAACTGAGTTGGCTGAAGATGAGAGTGAAAACGGCGTCAGCTCAACTCCTCCTACGCAAGTCTCTCCCCAGGATTCCTCTACAGTGAACCCGATCGTCCAGCAGGCTATGGTCTTGATCTCTACAGAAACGGAGATTGACCTCCATGAGCTGACAAACGAAACGGAATTCGCCTCAATCGGTGTTGACTCACTGATGTCACTCGTCTTGGCACAGAAGTTTGGATCAGAATTCAAGTTGGAAGTGCGTAGCTCGTTGTTTTTAGACTGTCCTACAATTGGTGATTTCAAGGCCTGGTTGATGGATTACTGTTGATTTGTCTTGGGGTAAGGATATATCTTGATACAGCTTGGATAAAAAATGGGCGAATTAATCAGAGAATAACATGATTGAATGAAAGAGTAGAGGAATTTGTCAAGTGACTCCAATCCAAGTGTAGGAATTAGACAGGGAATACTATTTATATTCTGTTTATTCCCGTGACGAATTGATCGCCGACTGGAATTAATAACAAGCCATTACAGTGTTATGTTTGCATTATTATTATACACAGCTGCTTTGGGATGGATAATAAGACTTATTACTTAAATTAATGTCCTCGAAGCATACAGGGTGGATGGATTTCATTTACCCTGACCCCTCGCAAAATGGAAATTGAACCCAGGATTGAGGTACAAGTGTGATAATTAATTTATATGAAGAGATCCAGCTATTTGTAGTTGCAGCAGCTCATCTCCCTGCTGCCTAGCGGAGTGTCTGCCGGGCAGCCACTCCTATATAGACCTCGCCAAACGCGGGTTTTGTCTGATCGTTATCTAAAGATATATATATTCGTTTAAAGAGCCATCTTCACTACGTTCCTTCTGCGCTGCATGGTGCCGACAGCTAAATCGATACGTTCATAAGATTTTTTTTAACTTCGAACGTCATACACTATATTTGAGCACTTAATCTAAAATAAATGGAACAAATCCGCGATTTAGAGTGCTCCCGCCATTGCACAGTGACGCGGGTTTTTGGGTTAGGTCGGGTTTTGGGTACCCGCGGGTTAACGCGACTCATAAATAGATAGATCCAAACGCACAAGACGACTTGAAACGGAACCCAAAAAACTACGTAAGATGAGATTCTTTAACCCTAATGATACGACTCATTAATATGGCGTCTTCTTCGTCCTCTTCATCGCGATCCATATGTCAATCTTTTAACCCTTTACTATCCATTAAGCCATCGTCAGACGCGTTCCTAGACTCGGACTTTTAATCTTCAGATGCCATTACCCGAAGACCGCCAGTAATACTGAGACGTGTTAGAACCTTAACGCAGAAAGAACTAGATTTTATACGAGCCAGAACAGGACAGGGAGTTTCTGGGATGGTGGGAGAAAAACGAGTATGGTCGGAAACTGAATAGTGACGGTCAGTCCTAAATCAAATGGCCATAGACTCGCGTCACGCCGAAGTTTAGAAACACTTTGATTAAGTGGCGGATATTGATTCTAGGCGCCTAAGAGTCTTCTGCCAAGCCTGTCTTACTCTACTTAATCACCCATAACACAAAAAGAATGGGAAACGCGCGATGAGCAGACATCAAAGGTCTAATACTTATCGAAAGGGCAAGAAGAGAAGATCTCACTAATCTCTGATCTCGGATTCGATTCAGAATACTTCCATGAGGGAGTCGCCCAGTGTGAACAGGTTAATTACACTGCAACTTGAGGAGTAACTGTTGAAGAATATCACTTGGTTGCGATTACCGCTTCGAACCGTGGAGAACCCTACGTTTTAAGGTCTGCTCAATCTTATATACTATGGATCTAGGGTACTGGAACTTCCATCAGCGAAAACCTTGCAAAGGCGACTGCGGGATGCGGTCACGGAATAATAAGAATTATAATTATAAGATCTGCCCGAAGACGCTAAGGTATCACTTACCTTAGATTATTAGACTAGTCCATTTCAGCAAGCATTCATGGTAATCACAGTCTATTTCATTGATAAAGATTGGAATTACCGGGAAATGCTCCTTAGATTTAAACCCTTACACGGTCCTCACATAGGGGTCAACCTCAATGAGTTCCTTCATTAATTACTGAAGGAACGACGACTCTTAGACCGCATCTTCAGCGTGACCACATATAATGTAGCCAATAACGAGACCCTAATTCGAGCATTATAAGAAAAGCTAATCTCGGCTGGTGCCATTGGCTCCAGAGAATCTATTGTTTAGGTTCCTTATATGGTGCATGTGATTCAACTTTGCCTGAAACAGCTTTTAGGGCATATCAGAGCAGCTCCTAAGAATAAAGAAGTGAGGACTTTTTGGTCTGACACACAAGCCAGCGGTTTAAGGAACTCAGCAGATCATGGGGAGGTGGCTTATGCCTTAACAAAGGTGAGCCTAACGTTTCTGCAAACGCCTATTAGTACAGCCTAATACTCATCAAAATAGATTCGATGATTTGCGGTGTTCGTAATAACGGCGAGATGCATTTTTATGCCTTCAATCAGGTGGTACACGCCTTTTCCCATTGCATGATGTTCAAACACGCTGGAATTCCACTTTTTTGATGCTTCGTCGTGCGCGTCGCCTTAGAAACATCATCGACAAATTACTGCCGAGATCATGACTATTCACAGTTCAACATCTCTGACATAGAATAGCGGCAAATTAACTACCTAGTCCACTTGACCAAACCATTTTTTCAGTTCACCATGGCTCTCATGAAGACAAAAGACGTTACTATTCATAACGTGTTCCTTGTGTATAGAAAACTACTGGAACATATTGAACGGTCGAATCGGAAACTGAAGAAAAAGACAACTCCCTGGAAGAAGGACGTGTATGGTGCGCTGCTTGTTGCGAAACAAAAACCGAGAGAATACTATGAGAAGACTTATCGTGACCACGGTTTTCTCTACGACACCAGAACTTTACTTACTCCCTAATATAAGCTCTCTGCCTTTGATGATAGGGAGTACTCGACTTATCACGACGATACTTCAAAAAGATACTGTGAATACTTGAGAACATGTTTCATACAGTACCAACAACAAACCCCGGAAATGTTATTCCGCACTGTGCAACGTCCCTTCGCTGCACAATTCGGAACTGGATCGACCCCTTGAATCTACCAATGGCATAATGGTCAATGAAGGGGCTGAGCATGATGAGGTAGACCGATATCTCAGAGAAGGTAAGGACACCTGACATGCTACATCTGAATGACCGACTGACTTCTCCAAGCGAATGTTCCCATTTCGCTACGAATTTACTGGAAAGAGCACGAGCGTGAATTTCCAGTGCTCTCACGACTTGCACGCGATTTGCTCTCAGTCCCCGCCACCGGTGCAGGAGTTGAAAGACTTTTCAATAGTGCGCGAGATATCTACCATTATCGCCGAGGATCTCTCCACGAAGCAACTATCTAAGACCTGATGATGTATATGTGCAGAGAGAAATTCACTCTAGAGGGCCAGCAATCGAGTCTCATGGAGAAGCCGATGGAGAGCAAGAGCCAAGAGGCACTTGAAGAAGATGAGGCGCTTAAAGCAAATAAAGAAGACGTTGCGCCGATCAGCGATGATGAAGAGGTTGAGGAAAGTGAAGATATCGACGGGAATATTGTAGCCGAGGAGACAAATCAAGTAGAAGGCATGTTGGCAGAAGCAGGATAGCTGGCGAAAAAAGGGAGCAGTGCACATCGTGATAGGTTGGCCAGTCAGTGACAAGCGATTCGGAAGCATCACTGGGCAAAGGTGGCGATTGATTCCCCGCCGGACTTGCAAGGTCGGTTGAAGGTGAAAATGGACAAGGTACGAAGGAGGGTTCTTGACCACTCGAGGACAGGTCAGAATCCGTATATTGGCTGAATGGTGATCTGAATATTTATGGCCCTTAAGTCAGCCTTGGGATTCGTGGAAGTATCAAACAATTCGGCAATTCAAACCTCTCGCTCCTGGGCCTAGACAAAGAGACCTTGTTGACATCCGCTTGTTAGACTGCCTTTGACTCGCCAATTCTCTCTTGTGGCCGCCGTGGGCGAGTCCAGCGCGTTTTACTCCGACATCTCCGAGGCTTAACTTTCAGCTTGTCATCGAGCTTTTCGGCGTCGGGGCCGCATTCACTGGGTCGAGGTTAGATCACGCGATACTTGGAGGGCGTGGTTATGGGAGATGGAGACAGCGCGAGTGGTGCTGCTAAAAAGGGTGCTTACGGAGGTTCGTAGACGAAGCCGTAGTTTTGAGAGCCAGTCTTGAAAGATCTGTCGCCCATCCCTATAGGATACACCGAAGGATATTGCGGTGGAGTATATGAGCTCGGGTAACGGTAACTCACGATTAAAAGAGAACTGATCTCGGGTGCCTCTGCTGATACGGAGTGGGGGCTTCTTTAATGGACGCGCGAGCTTCTCTAAGTATATGGGCGAAGAAAGAGCTGCTCTAAGGTAGTTCTCAAGTATAAACGGTATATATGATGGTGGGTAAGAATGAAAAAGATGGTTACACATTGCTGGGGAGTAAGTAGAATAGGCCTTTATTATTAAGGATTTAGGGGGGTGGTGCTTCTTTCTCGCTCTCGGGGCATTATACTAGGGAGGGTTCTAACCACACTGTAACGGGCTAATGCCAGTATCAAGACTCGGACTCTGCCCGCGCTCTCTACTAGACCCAGCCAGAGTTTCTGACCGCGGTCAGAAAACTGAGAGTATCTGCCCATCACCGTCGAGCACCCACACAGTACAACTCCTTAAGCTTTAGTTAAACAGCATGCAGGCACCGTTCAATTGAATCAATTTAACTGTAGCCCTTCACACTAAGCATCACTAAGTAATCAGAGAGCATCTAATGAGCACTCACTAAGCACTCACTGAACATCAGTCATCCTACGCGTGACTGATCTGAGCATGATCACTGATCTGAGCCCGTGCTGACATCTACTCAGTGAGCCTGAGCCTGAGCACCCTCATAAAAGCGGCGGCAGCTCAAATAGGAAAGCCCCACCCGCCAGGGTATATCCGGTACGTATAGGTACATATGTAGCTTCATTGAAGTCGGGGTCCTGTCCATTTTTGGCAATTGCCCTCCAAACCCACTTCTATACTGTTCTACTCTATTCTACAAATAATTTAATTTGTCTCAAAAATTAAGAGCTACGCACACTGGTACGATATATCTCAATTAGATCAGTTAAAAGCAAAAACAAAAGAGGGGAATAAAACAGCGCCGAGTGCGCCGTCGCAATAACGCAAGATTTCTGATTTGATCAACGCCAGTCTTTCCTTTCCTTCAAAACAACCCCCATTTTCGACCCAGTTTACCAGTCAGCCAGCTCAAACCATGTGGCCCGACAAAGCAGGGTGGTGTGCGAGATCGGGAGGACGGATCTCCGCAGAATCACGAGAGTACTTGGAGGAAGCGGCATCGTTCTCCTCAACCAGAGTCGGATTCATGGGCTTGGAGATCTTGAGTGGGAACCGCCCAGTGAGACGGTTGGTGGCACGCTTGACGGGGTTCTGGCGTGTGTAGACGGGCAACGTTTCCTCGCGCTTCACGCTCAAATGGAGGGTGCGATGGCTACTGGTCCGGCTCATTGCCTTTTGTGGTGCAACGGCGCCGTCAACCCGCACCTGGCGGGCACTGACGCCGGTCTCGGGGTCGCTGAAGATATAGCTCTGTTGGGGGGAAATCGGTCAGCATGGGGTCATAGATATATGTCGGAGGACCGGAAGTTTTGATCTCTTAACTTACGGCCAGAACGTTCACCACGCTAACTATCATGGCCAGGACGCCGGCGGAGATGATGATTCGCCAGAAAGTCATTCCAATGGTTTCTTGGGTCATAGCTTTGGTGTTCAAGTTGCCCAGTGTCGCTACACCCAGGATCATCATGATCCCGCCGAGAGAGTAGAAGCTAGATTCTTGTCCAAACATGGGCCAATGGTTGTCAAAATAACCTTGAAGGATCGGGAGCTCTGAGATGATCATGAAGACTGCGAAAATTAGCATTTATTTGACACACATGGAAGATTATACTTACGGCTGACCAGAGCCACCACAGCATGGGTCACAGCCTCGAAGAAAAAGAAACTGTTCAGCATGTCGATTTTGGCCAATAAAACTGCACAAGCAGCTATAATGTCCATAAAAGTGATAATGTTGAGAACGCGAATGACGTTAAGAATCACGTACCCTGGACCTGCCAGGGATTCACGCAAGCGAGTCATCATGATTGTGGCACAAGCCTGTTTCTGCAATTGTGAAAGATGGTAGGTACTCGCTTTCGAGGATGTATAGAAGATTGTCTGTTAGCAGACTTGGGGGGAAGGTTGGGATTAAAAGAGGGGAAAAAGCGACTGTCCAGCAGAAAGCTTGGTATTCTAAGAAAGAATGGAACAATGCTATAGAGCGAGATCAACTCGAGGACAAGAAAAGAATAAAGAAAGATAGAGACAAAAGAAATGGGTGAATGGGGGCGACAATGAAGGAAGGTATCTATGGAAGAATGGCTATTGAGGTGCAGCAGCCTAGAGGTATGGTCCCGACAAAGGCGATATTTTTTTCTATGAATAGACTTGAAACATCTGAATAAACCACACAAATGGAATGTATCTAATTAGAGCCCTAGTGAAAGAGAGCAGTTCTTCCCCCAGCTCTGCAGTGGGAGAGAGATACTGCAGGAGGTGTTTCATTGTTGCGATTCAGGCAATAAACAGGGACCTTTAAGCGCAGAGATCGGGGTTTGTAGCCGGAACAAGCCTAATTACCTACGCCTCCATGATTGGTCTCTCATTAGGGCCCGATGCAGCTAAATGACTGGTCATTGATAGACGATACTCGACCATGCTGAAACTAGTTGGCGGCTACAGGTTTTCTTTCCTCGTGTTTTGGTTTTACCTGCCTCAAACATGGTTTATTCCCTGGTAAGTATAGCTCAAATGATTCTGGATCACAAGGCTATCAATGTGGAACTGGCAAGATATTTCAAGGGCAAAATAATTTTGCAGGCCGTGGGCTTTGAGGCGAAGCGCCAGGGGTACACGGAGTAGAAAGAGTTGAAACAAGGTAAGAATACAGCCCAATCACAGCCAGCATATAGTCGCTGATTGAAATGACCCAAAATAAAATAACACAGAAAATAGTCCTATAATCCAATCAAAAATATTGACAAGTGTGTATACAGGAGGTATACAGTGGAAACCCTGTGATTCGCTGAAATAAAGCCGACCCCTCCAAACTTTTCTCTCACTCTCTCCCTTCGCGCCACCCCTCCCAACTACTTTACTCTCGTGAATAATATAATATCAAGATGACTCGGGGTAACCAACGTGACAATGATCGGGCCAAGGCTCTGAAGAAGGCCGGCAACTCGGTTCGTCCTATCCCCGTCTCGTCTTTGTTCATACTGACCACCTCTACAGAAGAACAAGAACACCCTGACCGGCAGCGAATTCGCCAAGGCCAAGGATGATGCTGCTGCCATCATGCGCGAGAAGCAGCGGAAGGGTATGTATTATGGCACTAGATGTCTAATCCACATTGAGAGACTAGTTTACTGATCGCTTCTCTTCTACAGCGGATGAAAAGAGAGCCGCCGAGGCTGCAGGAGGAGGCAAAAAATAAAATACCTCATCCTTCGATCCAACCCGTCAGTCACTCTCACCTCCCTCCACCTTTGTCGCGATCGCCCGAAACAGACAACCCGCCGAGCAACATCGCAAAGTGCACGGGTAAAGGACGGCGCTGGATTCACGGATAATATTGGAACCATCTGCCTATGCCCAACTTTCAAAACCCAGGGGCTAGGTGTCTAGCGAAGCGTTCATTTGACTCTCATTGGCGTTTATCACATATTTAGCCCAAGCATGTATACCAGAGCGCTGACAAAACGAGGCAACGACACATGAGAAATATCATGGAGGTGCGATTTTTGGTGGTAATCGTAAACGCGTAAACACATACATACATCCATATCACATCCGGTCATATATCTTGCCTTTGGCCATCTACGACCCAATATACTCTCGCCCGGGCCAGCCAGGTCTGCCATGACTTCTGTTGGCTGTCCTGAATCATTTGGGGATCACGAGTTCTGCTTTCTTCATCACAATGTAATAGCATGGTATGCTCAATCACGCTTTGAAGCCCGAACTGTCTCGATGCTTGGTCGACAAACGTCCAAAGGCTCTCGCCTTCCCATCCAACGTTAAGCGCAAACTTAACCACTCTCCCAAGAGCATTCACTCGAATATGTTGCTCGGGGGACTTGTTCAACACGTAGAGGCCAAAGCTCCAACCCGATATATCGCGTGGATTAGCCAAGCACCAATCAACCACCCGTTCAGTAACTGACTGCGCGGAACGGATTTCCCACATGGATTGTCCAGTGGTTTTTTCCACTGTGGCAGCGAGAAGCACTTCCAACTGTCGCATATAATTGAAAGCATAATAATTCTTGGGATGCAGCTCTCCAGCACGGAGGACAATATCCAGTTCTGTCTGTTGCAGCTTAAGTAGATCCTCGGGGCTCCGATACTGTCTTTGAAGCAGATATACAATCACCCACAGTCGGTGATGCCATAGCGTCGGCGACTTGGTATGACGGTGAAGTGGTGAGCACTGATAGCTCGACATGAGCGTGAGTTCGGCTTCTAAAAACTCCGTTGCGGCTGAGGTCTGGTCTGGAATAACAGGGTAATGCGCCATGGCTGCCTGCAGTCGGCGCTTGCGCCAGTTACAGGCTGTAAGGTGCTCGCAGTCGAAGAGGAGCATAATTTCTGTAATAGCCGAGTCTGTATTTCTGGACTGGGCGTTTGCGGTAAAGGTGATTTGGAGGTCATTTTCGGACATGGGCATTAATCGGTCGAAGAAGAGCTGTCGCGCGACCATAAAGGCCTGCACTAGAGCTTTCTTGGTTAATCCCAGTGACCATCCATCCTGTAGGAATGTAGCACCTAGGCTTGATGGGATGATCTCGATCTCGAGGACTTGGTTGTCTCTAGATGAGAAGATACGGACAAGGTCCTCGAATGCATCTGTTGGGTTGGACATTTGAGGGCTTGGTTGTTTGGTGGAAATTGGGAAGAATAATTGTTAAGTCCTCATCATATTTCGTTCAAAATATTTCCGTAATTTATTGTCTTGCCACAAGCAAAGTGGTAGACAGAATGGTGTAGACCGTGATACAGTGAAGGCGGAAAGGCCAAGTCCGCTGTTATTCCCAACCTTTCCACAACGAGGAACGTTATTCACTCCTTCAACCAGCAACCAACATTTATCTTACCAGGATATTTCCTATCTCACCCCAGCAGAGCTACCAGAGAAGTGCGTGGTTGCCGACTGTGCCGCCGCCTCTTTCTTCCAGGCTCTCCTAGCCTACGCCGTCGCATTCAACGCCTCATCTCGGTCTTGCCAACCCCCGCCACGATGTTGTCCCTTGTCCTTACGGTCTTCTTCGTGCACATCGCAATTTACCTGGTCAACACAATCGGTGCGAGTACCGTCGATAGCCTTGTACGTCTCCAACCTACACCCATCTATGACCTTTGAGAAGCTTCCCAGCTCTGCCGCGCACCTACATTGTGATTCCACACGCTAACGCCTGCTCTCTTTGGCATACAGCTATGGCTCCTTTACCTAAAAATGCCGACGCCAACCTCGAGAACTGCACGCAAACAGCAGGAGCTGAAGCGCCAAGTACTCGAGCAGAAGCACGAAATGAACAGCACAAGCTCCCAGGATGAGTTTGCGAAGTGGGCGAAGGCCAGAAGACGACATGACAAGACCATGGAGGAATACGAGACGCTGAGTACGTATCACTCGCACAATACTACAGATGCCCTTGTTATTCCTGTTGACCAGACTACTAACACCCTTGTCTCTCCACAGACAAGAAGCTCACCTCGCAGAAATCCTCCTTCGACTGGACCGTCAAGATCGCCCGCTGGCTCTGCACAAACGGGTTGAAGATGTTCCTGCAATTCTGGTACTCGAAGACACCTGTCTTCCCGCTCCCCGAGGCATGGTTCCCCTACTACGTTGAATGGATTCTGTCTTTCCCTCGCGCCCCGTTGGGATCCGTGAGCATCCAGGTTTGGAGCAATGTCTGTGCGACTACCATTGCGCTCGTCGCCGAGATTGTGGGAGCATGGCTGGTGCAAGTGGCTGGCCAGAAGGAACAGGAGGCTGCGCCTGTTGAAGCTGAGGGCAAGGCACAGTGAACGTGAAAACATGATCATGGCTATATTATTGCATGGATACCGGTTGTATTATACGAAGTGAAATGCTACGATTTAAATATGAATATTGCATTATAATCATTCATTTCAATTGCATTGGTATTTGGACTGCTCGACTTTGAAAAACAGGCTATATAGAATGTTCATCAGATAATTTTAAATCGTTTATCGTCAACAACCCCTTGGGGTCTCTGTGCTTGACTCTATGATTGGTATATCATCACGCGAACAATAATAAAAAAAAAGCCTATGGCAAGATAGAAGAGTCCGGCCCCTGTGACAGGGCTTCTGCGACGAGACAGTATCTCATCACCGCTTTGCCATAAGCTACAGACTCCAGAAAAAAAGACATGGGAACTCCTCGCCTCAAGAATGAGCCCCATTGAGTTACCTCTATCGACTTCCGAAAAAGTAGACAGGAGGCAATCGCATGACTATCCGAACATGACGAAAGGCAACCCAATACAAGAAAAGGTGTTTTACCACCGATCCTTCCCCCCTCCAACACCCAGCACGCACCCCATTGTTTCCAGAGACATCTTAAAATGTAACCGTCGGGTGGCACGGGATGCCGTGAAGGAATAGGGCGTAAGCCGCTATCGAATTGCTTCTATGGCGGCGCGTTTCCGCAGTGCCTGGCTTGGTACTTTGGTTTAACCCAAAGCGCAGGGTGTCCGGGGACTTTCTCCCAAAGCAAGATTGGAAAAGGGAGCGATGCTTCCTTTTGTGCGTGAGCTTTGAATGCGATTCTTTGAGCGAGGAGTTGAGAGAAGAAGAGGAAAAGGAATCTTCGCGGCAAAGCTTTTATTTTTCTCGCGCTAGTCAGGTGATGGGGCTAGGCTTGGTTGGGACTAGCCTGTGTGGCATCGGCTTAGGGCTTGCGATGTTCCGGAGGGCAATAAATTATCTAGAAGTAAATTGTCGAGCAAAAATGTTGGCGGAAAATTATGGATTTTTTTTTTTCTCACTGCTAGAAGGAAGAAATGTAGATAAATAGACAGGCAGAGAGAGAGAGAGAGAGAGAGAGAGAGAGAGAGAGAGAGAGAGAGAGAGAGAGAGAGAGAGAGAGAGAGAGAGAAGGGGGAGAAGACAGACCCTATTAACCTGGGAAATCCCTGTCAACCATTGCCATACTCTTACGTCCTTCACCTTTTTTTCTAGTGATTTGTTATTGCTAGTTTAGGCTCCACATCTACTAAAGGAAGTTTATTGATGAAAGAAAAAAAACACAATGCATTTGACAAAAAGGCTTGATGAATGAAATTACAAACAATTTTTACATGATCCCGTTTACGCCTTGGACTTGGTCTTTGTGGCCTTCTTGGTGGCCTTTCCCTTCGCCTTGGTGGCAGGCGACTTGGCAGCAGGAGACTTAGCTGCTGGTGTCTCTGTAGCAGCCTCCTTGGGTGTCTCTGTCTTCTTGCCCTTCTTGGCCTTCTTGGGGGTATCATCGGTAGGAGCAGGAGCCTCGGCAGCGGCCGCAACAGGAGCGGGGGCCTCGACGGCCTTGGCAGGCTCCTCGGTGGCCGCCTCGATAGTCTCAGTGGCCTCGGCGGCCTCGACAGCCTTGGGGGCCTCCTGAATGGGGACATCATCGACGCTCTTCAACTGGGGAAGATCAAGCTCGTAGCCGAGAGCCTTGAGCTTGTTAATCTTGGCCTCTCTCTTCTTCTGCTCAGACTCGATGCTCTTCGACCACTGCTCACGTGTCTTTCCTCTCGCGAGACGCTTCTTCTCAATGCGGTTCCATGGCGTAACCTTGAAGCGGCGGTTGGCGCCCTTCCAGATCTCGGGGTGCAGCTGCTCTTTCGGGACGTACTTGCACTTAACGATGTGACCATACATGAGGTAGTTGTCCATTGTGTCAGCGACGATCTTGGCGACAGTGGTGGAAGAGAATTCAATGAAGGCGTAGTGCTTGGAGCGGCCAGTCAGACGGTTGCGCGAAATACGGAGTTTGGTGATTTCGCCGAATTGGGAGAAGTAGGCCTTCATCTGGTGCTCGTAGAAACCGTGGGGGATACGTCTGAGAATGGGATGTTAGATGGTTCAAATTGATCAGAAATTGCGGTCGAAACTTACCCAATGTAGACAGTGCCGGGCTCCTCGGGAGGGCCTTCCTTGCGCAGCTGCTTGGCGAGCTTGCGCTCGGCCTTCTTGGTATCGGGGGCCTTGGGGATAGGTTCGCCCTCTTTGTAACCCTCACCATCAGACTCATCCTCGTCGCCACTGCTTTCGAAGCCCTTGATGAGAGCCTCGGTCTGGTCATCATCACCCTCGTTCTCAGCCTCGCTTTCATCAGCGGGGGAGGCATCCATCTCGACACCTTCCTCCTCGGACTCGACGACGGGCTCGGGCTTCTTGGTCTTGGGGGCGGCCTTCTTCGCATCAGCCTTCTTGGGAGCGGGGGCGGCCTCAGCCTCCTCCTTCTTGGACTTTTTAGCGGCGGGTTTCTTCTCGGTCTTTTTATCAACCTTCACAGGTGCGACAGGCGCTTCGGTCTCCTCATCGGTAAGGAAGTCGGCAGCACGCTTGCGAGGCTTGACCTGGCGGGTGGACTCAACATTGGTCTTGGCCGGCGCAGCAGCCTTCTCTGCCTTAGACTTGGACGCCTTCTCGTTCTTCTTCAAGATAGACTTAGGAGCAGGCTCCTGGGTTGGTTCGGCAGGCTTGGCCTCGACCTTCTTGGTTTTTTTGGCGGGTGAGTCGGCGGCAACAGGCGCAGCTGTAGTAGCGTTAGTGAAATGAAAATAAATTCCACCAGTCCCAAGCATTGTACATACCCTTGCGCTTTGAAACTCTCTTATCAGGGGCCATTTTGAGGTTTTGTTGTGTTGAATTGGAGACTGTATGCTGCTCAATCATCTGCGGGAAACTTTTTTTTCTTCTCTGATTTGCGCGGAAGGCGGTGAGCCATCTCTACCACGATTACCGCCAAGATGTTTACTTGCTCCAACTCAATAACCTCCAACCCCAAATGGGCCAGCATCATGGGGAAAAATAAAAAGGTGTCCTTGACACATGCAGAGGTCTGGGATGATTCTGCCCTAGTTCAGTCGTGGGATGATGCTGTCGAAGAATACCAGGTCAGTCACCAATTCTCCAATTCACGTGACCGATATCTAACCTGACCGCAGCATTATTGGAGCATTCACGCCAAGGGTGAAAATGTTGAGGATATCTTGAAAGAAGCAGAAGGCACTGTTGTTACTCCAGCTGTGCATCATGGTGATAGTGAACGCACTAAAGCCGCACAGGATGATGCCATTAAGCCTGATGATGAGAATATCTCGATAACCATTGATGAGCAAACTTCTAAGTCTGCTCCCGAGGTATATTGCCATTCTATTGATGTATTCCTCGCCAAGGGACTTGCTAACTATATATAGCCTTCTCAGCCAGTGGATGGTTCGAACTCTGCGGCTTCCACACCTGTTATCCCGATGCCTCATGCAGTCACGGCAAATGGTATGCTTCGCCTTCGAGACACGTCGATTCAAGTAACTAACTCATACTTCTAGTCCAAGATGAGTCGTTAAAGAATCTCATGATGTCCTGGTACTATGCAGGCTACTACACGGGACTTCATGAAGGCCAACAACAGGCAAGCCGCGACAAAGGTTCATGATCCGACAACGGCCTGGAGATGAACGGGGATGTGTTTCTTCAATTATCACACTAGCGGGCGCAGATTTATCACGTACAGGTTGTCAACGAGACACAACAGAAAGGTGATACAACTAATCATATCAAATTAAGCGTGGAACCTGACAAAGATCTTATTGACCATTCCCCTTGCAAACAAAGTAAACAACGAAAATAAATATCACCCAGCTAGCCTCGACGCAAGGATGCTTGCGCTAATCACAGATTCTGCGCCAGCTTCATATCGAGCCTCATATGCCTGATCTTCATACTTGGTGGATCAGAGGGTATCACCGATAACACCACCGATCACGGGAATCTTGCCCATGCCGGTAAACTTAGCCTTATGCTCGCTGGTAGGGGTAGCAGAAGGAGTAGGCTCGCTCCCAGTGCCGGCCTTTTCAGCCAGCTTCGAAGCGATCTTGGCCATCTGTTTCTGCTTTTCGTTGATATCCTTGTCGTCTTCATCCGTCGACCGAGTGGCATGCTGAGTTCATTGGTCAATATGATACCGCTGATGGTGACTTCTCCTTGGGTGACTTACCGTCAATTTATTAACAACACCATCGAGTCTGAGCGGTTGGCTGGGAGCTTGCCCATCACGCTTAGCGGGCATGGAGAGAGCAAGGACCGCGAGAACGAGGAAAACGGAGATGAATGAGAGACTGAAGCGAGCCATGGTGGATGATGGAAAATGTGAAGCAGGATATATGGATCAAGGGAATGAATGTGTCCAGATAGTTGTCTCGCTGAGTGTAAGAGGTAATGGTTTAGCAAATGAGTGACTGCTGTAGGTGGACAGCTGGGAGAAATAGAGGCTTGGGTCTGCGAGAGATATGTTGGATTTATATAAACGCAGCCCCTTCGATTATATCATGGAGGCAATGGCAGTCCAAGGGGGATTATGGTTCAGAGCCTTGTTACGACTAGCTGCCGCGCGTTGTCGTGTGGTATTCTGACTCCTCTGGGATAAATAACAATAGTTTCACCCTCTTCATTTCATTAGCCCTTTTGTCATACCCAATGGCTATGCCTGGAGAAATATTTTATCCATTCACCTACATATTGGTCGGGACGTTAGGGCCTCCTGTCTCGAAGTATATCCATTGGAGGCAATGATGAACTTGGGATCAACCAAGGGGTCTACAATGATAGTTAATCAGTGGACAGAAGTGACGGAAAGTGATTCAGTTATGTGGGCCATGCTTCATAATGACTTGCCGCATTCCATATTGAAAGCTGTAGTATATTGCATACTCATGTCTTGACTCCTCCAGCAACCTAGTTATACCCGAGCGCTCAGCAGGTTTCATGCTCGCTTTAGTCAAACAGATACTGAGGACCTGGGCAGATTCATGAGCTTTCTTTTGGGGTTTAATCAGACAACTACTCAAAATGCAGGAACAAAGTGTCCACAGGGATGGAGACGCAGGTCTTCGATCAAGGTTTGCTACGAGCCCCTAGCAAGGACTGATGCGAGGTGCATATCCAGCATTCCACAACGACGGAGCATTCCTTGTATTTTCTCCAATGTCACAATAACTATTCAGAATATAGCTGTTTACGTGAAATGTATCTCCCTACTTTGACACGCACAGCCCCATAGAGGGAGCGGACGTAACACGAGGGAGTCTCCAGAAGGACGTATCCAACTGTGAGGGCTTAGTTTTGGCATCTTTTTGACCTCAAACATCAAGATATGACGGACAAGACTTCGAAGATGCCAAGGCTGTTTACATCTATCTAGCTATATAGGGGTCAGTGGGTAAAAAAATGCGAATATGGTTATCCCTGTCTGGAGGAGATGACCATGTAAGTTGCAAGGATCTGAGTGCCTCGCAGGGTTGGAACCCAAGCATCAAGATTTCAGTGCCAGCCTAAGCTAGCCCCTGCGAGTGAACACAGATATCAAATAAAAACACCTGCAAGACTAAATCGCAAGATTCATATCAAAAGAATTGGGGATGTTGGCTCAAAAGCGAACCCGTTCCCCTCTGGCTGCATGTCAGGGGGCGGGATTAGAACGAGCATTCTTCGGTCTGGGTCCCTAAACTAAAATATGTAGATAGAGTGAGGTTATTCCATCGACAAGAGTGTGTTGGGGACCGTGTATATGTTTTGAAGTGAAGAAGAAAAGGAAAAGAGAAAGCGGATCGCAAAATTTTATTCGACGGGCCCAGTAGCGCGGATTATGTCATCCAGTCACGTGGTCGCGATTTAGTGGAGCTTTTGATGCCAACATCTCTCTGTTCAATTTCAACAAGAACAGACGGCCGCGTACGCGGCCTTGTGGTATATTTCTAGAGGTCCTTTTTGGTGGTCTCAGATATTCCGTTTACAACACAGATACCTTGAAGATATTTCGTCACCCCTCTCAGCTTCATAGGTAGAGAGCAGAAAAAGGCGAAAACAAAAGCATAGTCACTTTGTGCAAGAGACTTTTCCATAGATAACCTGGGATTTGACAGCTTAAAACTCCAATGTCGACCTTGTAGAACGTATTCTCGATGCCGTTTTGTAGTGAGACTAAGACATGCGCAAAGTCTGTTCAAATATATATTTCATGGAAGGTGCGGGTGGAAAGATGTGTAAATATGGTATGAAGAATCGAAGGAATTCAGCAAATCAAGAGATAAGATGTTTCCAGTACTTTCTTGCTGCCATTTATAATACGGAGATATTAATTTTATCGCCACGGGCTTCTGTATATTAAACTTGGACTAGTACTTTGAGCAAACAACGTATCGTCAAGGTACACAAGTAATCACCCCGATACGTTTCGTGTGTGTAGCGTCGTCTGCATCAGGCCTCGATGACCCGGCTCACAATACAAGTATTGAATATGATAATTACTGAACTCTTAGATTTGCTCCGCATTAAGGGGATTGAAACTTTTTGCACTGTGTTCAAGTCCAGGTGTATTCATAACATAGTTCCCATTCCAGCTGAGATACATCAATTATTCTCCAATTCCGCTGGGTCAAGCTGTAGATTCACAAGATGTGACGGAACGGCCCAAGGCTCTTTAAAATTAGTGAATCTGTGGCCAAAATACAGGATGAGAAATGCCGGTAACCCAATGTATGCTGACATGAAAGAAGCAATTGACCATTCGGACGGGAAAAAGACCGTGAAACCGTTCAAAAGACATAAGATACTGAACAAAACGAGCGTAATCCACGAAGTGTATGGCTGTAGCGGGGACCTCTGTGTTAGCTTTGACTTTGGAACTTCCTGAACCTCGCAGGCCTTTCGAAAGCGAAGATATGTGATGGAGCAGCAGACCCAGGACAAAAATCCGCCGGTGTTGACTAGGTTCAAAAGCCAATTTAAGATGGTCGCCGAGGAGGAGTTAAGTGTCATATACGCCAGGAGAGACACACAGGATGTTGCCCCCACAGCGTAGATGGGCACTCCTTTTGCAGTGCAGCGTTGAAAGATTCGAGGAGCGTTACCCTCCATAGCGATGGAGTGAAGGGATCGACTAGAGAGGTAAAGGAATGCATTACCCGTTGACCAGGCTGCTATAAGCGCCACAGCGTTTATGATGCTGTCCAAATCGACTATTCCAGCTTGCTTGATACCTGCAACCCAGGGTGAGGACGCAGCATCACTTCCACTCGTTAGGGTGGCAGCATTAGAAGGGCAAATGACCGAAATACCAATGGCACTGCCGACGAAAAGAACAACCAGACGCCAGGTGAAATGTTTCGCTACCCTTGGGACATTTTTGCTCGGGTCTTTAATCTCGGCCGCCGTTCCAACCACCATCTCGGGCGTAAAGCTGAAGGGAAGGATGCTACTGATGACAGTGGCGATAGCGGCAATGAGCCTGCCAGCATCACCTTCCAGTATCAATGTATTTGTTGCACCAGGATCTTTCCAGTAGTGGAATCCGAGCCTGTTGCGGTCAGGACCTCCTCCCCAGAACAATATGAACGAAAGACAAAGCAGGCCGATAATGGTGGCGAGTTTCACACCGGTGAAGAAAAATTCTGCTTCGCCGTAGAATCGTACTGGAAGGACGTTGAGAATGACCAACAAGACCAGCAAAATGGTGATCCAAACTGCGCTGTTGATACCTGGTTGCCAGAAGTCTATGAGGATAGCGCATGCAGTAAGTTCAAATGGAACCAGTATGGCGAAAGAGTAGACGTAGAGCCAGCCCATGGCAAACCCGAGACTCTTGGATACAAAGAGGTGACCATACCGACTCATGGAGCCTCCGCGGACGGGAAGAAACGTGGCCATCTCAATGATTCCCGTAAGAATGAAGTATACCAAGATAGATATAAAGATGTAGCTTCCGACGAGGAAGGCTGGTCCACCAGTCGCAAGAGTCTTGCCAGTGGTGATAAAGAGACCAGTCCCAACAGTACCACCCCAGGCAATGAAGAGTGCATGGCGTGCGTTAAGATCTCGCTTGGTAGATGGGCGGTGGAGCGGCTGCTCTACAGCAAGCGACTCGACTGTCGACATTGTCTGGTACACATCGGATTCATTACCGTCGTGTTTATCTGACTTGATATTATTCATGACTCAAAGTAGGACATATGTAAATTGAACGTTATGGCTGGTTTACACCATCTTATAATAGTTCATTCCCAAAGTTTCGACACTCTTATCAACAAGCCTGAGAAAGTATGGGGCTGCCAAGGCTGCTGAAGCACCCCAGATAAGTTCACGGACGTACATTGGACCACTCTCATTGACTAGAATATATTATCAAAGCCACCTAACACTAACCTCCGACGATCTCGCACGTCTCATGGCCGCGAGAATCGTTGATTTGCGCGTAATTGGTGGTCGGGAATCCCGATCGCGATGTCGACGTGATCCGAGACCTTCCAACGTAGCCTGGTGTGAGTACGTGCTGGTAGTGTACCAGGCTGGCGCTCCCTGCTAATCATAATACGTCTATTATTTCAAAATCTGTGCTCATTTGCCATATGATTTCGTACCACCATTTTGCAATTGTGAGGACATAGGAAAAAGAAACGATCAGGAAAAAGAAACGATCCGGTTTGTCGTGGGAACTTGGTATACCCCACAATAAAATAGCTTGTTTTACAAAAAGAAATAGATTGGATGGCGAGTGCGCCCGCGGCCGACATCGCGTCGGAAGTGCCGATGTAACACTTCCCTAATCTCGAGAGCGGTAGTGGACCTTGACTGCCATCGGATCATCCGCCACTAAAAAATATCGCGTTGCGAATTTCAACTGAGGGGAGATATGGTGTCCTAGCGGGAAACAAAGGCATATGAAGAGTCGCGGGTTCGAGTTCTTGATATCTGTCATGAAAGAATAAATCATTCCACTACCCTCTCGAATCTCGATCACTTACAACACATTTTCTCTTGGTTGTCTGTCTTTCAACCGCGCTCAACACTTTGTATATCCACCCAACATGGACGCCAAAGTCCATGGAGGTAGCGATTGGCTGGGCTATAAATTGCACCAGCTTAAGGAACAGGAACATGCTGGACCAGTCTTGACGGCAGTCATAGTAGTGCTGCTCACCTATATGCTCTACACGGTAAGTTGTACTTTTGAGTATGCCCGGGATGGGCATTGCTAGTTTTTTTTCACTGTCCATTTGCTGACAAGTTCGATAGGTGCTGTATGCTACCGACATTCCTCACATCAAGGGCTTGCCAGAAATCCCTGGCGCTGTTCCCTTATTTGGTCATCTGCTCAAGCTCGGTGAGGACCATGCTACAGTGTTAGAGAAATGGTGGCGCCAGCACAACCAATCTGTCTTCCAGATCAAGTTGGGAAACACCAGGGCCGTCGTTGTCAACTCGTTTGATGACTGCAAGAAGATGCTCCTCGGTAACCAGAATGCAGTCATTGATCGTCCCATGCTCTACACTTTCCACAGCGTAATCAGCAGCACCCAGGGCTTCACCATCGGATCTTCACCCTGGGATGAGTCCTGTAAGAAAAAGCGCAAGGCTGCTGGAACGGCTTTGAGTCGCCCCGCTTTGAGGAACTATTACCCTATGTTTGACCTCGAGAGCTACTGCATCATGCGAGACATGAAAAAGGACAGCAATAACGGTCAAATCGAGATTGACATTCGCCCGTACATTCAGCGATACGCGCTCAACACAACCCTGACCCTCTGCTACGGCATTCGTATGGATGCTGTCTATGACGACCTGCTACGTGAGATTTTGCACGTGGGATCATCTATCTCCTTGTTGCGCAGCGCCTCTGAGAACCTGCAGGATTACATCCCGGCTCTTCGATATTTGCCCAACAATGAAAAGAATGCCCGTTCAAAGGATCTTCGAAAGCGACGTGACGTCTATTTGGACCACCTCTTGAATAAGGTTCGTGAGATGATCAAGGCCGGCACCGACAAGCCTTGCATCTCTGCCGCTATCCTCAAGGACGAGGAAACCAAGCTCTCTGGTGTCGAAGTCTCTTCCATCTGCTTGTCCCTGGTTTCTGGTGGTTTCGAGACTATCCCCGGAACTTTAACCTCGTGCATTGGATCTCTGTCGACCGAGGAAGGACAGTTGTGGCAGGATCGGGCATACGAGGACATCAAGCGCCATTACCCTGATGGAGCCGATGCTTGGACTGGGTGCTTTAAAGAGGAGACGATTCCCTACATCAATGCCATTGTCAAGGAGGCTGGCCGGTATTACACCGTTAGCTCCTTGAGTCTCCCCCGAAAGACTGTCTCCGAGGTCAATTGGAATGGTGCTATCATCCCCCCTAAGACTATGATCTTGATCAATGCCCAGGCGGGTAACCATGGTGAGTGATTATCAGCTAAGATCTTCCGTCTTATTTACTATAGTCACGATCTAACTTTTACAGATGTTGATCATTTCGGACCCGACGCTGGAAAGTTTAACCCTGAGCGCTGGCTCAAGACCATTAGCCCTCCCACGGAGGCTACCAGTGCTGGCCTGGATCACTTAAGCTTTGGAACTGGTTCTCGTGCTTGCTCAGGCCAGTTCATCGCCTCTCGCCTTTTGTACTCTGCGTTGGTGAGGATTCTGTCGTCATACAAGATTGTGGCGAGCAAAGAGAGTCCTCCCAATACCGACTATGTCGAGTACAACCAGTTCAAGACAGCGCTGGTTGCTATCCCCAGGGAGTTCAAGATCAAGCTCATTCCCAGGGATACGGCAATGACAGCCAAGTGCCTGGACCTCGCTGAGCAGAGGACCAGCGAGCACTACAAGGAATAATCCTATTTCTGGATGCTGTTGTTGGTGTGAGTCTGAAGCTTTGGGGTGTGCAGGATATATCCCAGGCAATCGGGACAAAGAATATCATTATTTATACAATGAGCCTGATGTGAAGAACCATATGGGGGTAGTTATGTGATAAAAGGGGCGTATCTTGATACTTTACAAACTATGTGTGCTAATTATAGCTGTAGCTGTTGATGTTAGGTATATTGAAAGATATATCCAATGCAAATCTGGTCACTCATAGCCAACGAATCATCTTAGAATACACCTAGTCTGTTCATGGGCTGCAAGAGACCTGACACGGCTAGGCATTATTGAGTATTTTGGAATCTTGAACCCTCTTCACATCGCCTTATGTGTATTGGAGAGTGGAAGAGGTAAAGGGATAAGCAGAAGAAAAGGATATGAGGGATTCAAGTTATGGCCATGGCTGTGTGGATGGACATACGATGTTTAGCTTGCAGGATGTTGAATGTTGTGCGCGGTCTTCTCTACCCGGATGACCAGCATACTAGCACGATATAGCGTGATATTTTTGCAAAGCGCCGATCACCCATTGAAAAACCGCGACGTAAAGTAAAGCAAATCTGGGGTTGACTGGGGTCGGAGGAAAGAAGCTACAAACCTCGCCGATCACTGGAAACCCCCACACTCAATACATATGATTGATGTTTCCCTGAGACCGAAATGATAAACTCAAGCTAGCCACGGTCGCGTTATAATACAGCGCCTGGGAATCACCCGAAGGTCCCTGGGATTGGCTCCCCGTTGACCTACTCGTCGGCCCCTCCGACATGAAATATAGCGCTTATCAAACCCTTGTTAAGTAGCACAAGTGCCACAGCTGGCTACGTTCATAAGTCACCAAAGTGTCAGCACAACACATCCCATTCCCACTACCTTATCAGCATGTCTTCTCTTCTCGCGAATTACTTGTTTGGGGTCAAGGGGTACGTGGCAGTTGTGACAGGAGGCAGCAGTGGCCTCGGTTTTATGATTGCCAAGGCAAGTTCATTTTATTATGCCAACTTGGAATATAAGAAATAGCTAATTTTGGTATAATAGGGTCTTGTGACAAACGGGGCCAAGGTGTACCTCGTTGATTTACCAAGTGAGCAGATTGACAAGAGGGTGACAGAGCTCAACGAACTTGGAAAGGAAGTTGGAGGATCTGCATATGCGTAGGTTTGGACGATAACACTGATATCCAAAATCATTAAAGCCATACTAAATGTCAACCCTAGAATCCCCTGCGATGTTTCTGACAAGCAAGCCATCCAAGATCTTGCTGCTCAGGTCAGCCAGCGAGAGAGTCACGTTGATATGCTCATTTCCAACGCAGGCATAAGACGAGACCCACCCATCCAATGCAATGTGTCAGAGGCATCTTTGTCCGAGCTGCAGGCTTCTATGTGGTCCTCGCGACACTCGGACTGGGCTGACACATTCTGTGTCAACACCACTGCCCACTACTTCCTTTCCGTGGCTTTTCTCCCGTTGCTAGAGGCTGCCTCGCGTCTTGAACTACCCAATGGTCGGCTTGGTCGAAGTGATGGTCGTGGAGTGGTGGTTATAACTAGTTCATGCGCAAGCATGCACAACGTAACAAACGTGGACCTAACGAGTTATGCCACGAGTAAAGCCGCGACTGATCACCTAGTTAAGCTGCTGGCAGCCAAATTCAGTCGCTTCTATGTGCGAGTGGCGGGAATCAACCCAGGCTGTGAGTGAAACACGGCGTTCTGATACCCAATATGAATGGACCCAGATGCTGATCAATGTAGTTGTTCCTAGCAACATGAACCCTGTTGGGGAGAAAGGGAATGTCTTCAGCGCCCTCTTTGACAAAGTTCCTGCTAAAAGAGCTGGAATCGAGGACGATATTGCTGGCACTATTCTGTACCTCGTCAGCCGTGCGGGAGTAAGTATACGCAGCCTTGTTCGAGCTTGACATGCTTTATCTTACGGTGCTGGAACAATGCTAATGTCATGTCTAGGCGTATGTGGACGGAATATCGCTTTGCGTTGATGGAGGCCGTATCCTGCTTGCTAATGGCCAATAATGCAAGGCAAAGCATGTAGAGAAGTAAGTAATTTGGTGCATGAATGGGACGATTATCAGTCAAATGAACACTTTGCATATAGTTTCGCACATGCCATTAATCTAAGCCCATTAGTCCCGTTATGGCTATGTTGTTCTTGGCCTATTTGACAGTATTGCATATAATTTAATAATATATCAAATGGATAGACATACTTTCCTGAGGTTAATTTCCAACCGCATACAAAGGCATTGATCATTCAATGGCCACGGAGATTGAATTAATTATGAACGATAAGCTCAAGGCACTTCGCCCTGACTCTGCTGCATATCTTGGTATCTGGGAGGGTGGGTCTATCCGATGGGATTCAACCTCCGTCGGACGAGCCGACATACCAAAGATATCACATAGTACAACACTCTCTGAAGTAGTATCTCCATGCCGTTGCTTACATGGGAACTGTAATATCTCGCAATATCGCTCGGAATTTTTCAAGCTTGAGGAAATTGTCAGACACAATGTCTATCGTATCGATCTCTGATGGTGCAGGGTAAGCAACCTCCGGACATGAGCGTGGATCATTTCAACACCTAACAGGCGGTGTAGCTCCAACATAAGTGAAGAAGACCTACAGACTTTCGCAGCCCAGCTCCATGTTGATACCCTGGATGAGAAAGATGCCCAGGATTACCTCACTCTGTTGAGGTCGCTTGAGACCGTCCTGGGAAGCATCGACAATGCGCCTGACTACATTGCGCCAGAGTTGCTTCCTCACAAAACGTTAGAACATCGGAGCTTTTGGAAGCCAACACCGGACGAAAATCCTTTCAACGGCTGGAGTCATCAATGTGATCTAAGATCTGCGGCTCCCGCTAGCGGCCTACTGAGTAGACGTACCGTTGCCGTCAAGGACAACATATCTGTTGGAGGGCTACCAACCACTCTTGGAGTTCCCCAGTCACTCTTTCCTCAGGCCGACGGGTATCCCATCTCCCCTGTTGACGCAGTTGTGGTCTCGCGGATCCTTGGGGCTGGTGGCATCATCAAAGGGACATCTACTTGCGAAAGCTTTTGTGCCTCTCCCTTGTCCTTCACCTCGGCGACAGGCCCGGTTCACAATCCACGGTTGCACAACCACACGGCCGGTGGAAGCAGCAGCGGATCTGCAGTTCTTGTTGCTGCCCATCGCCTGGCATCCAAAAGGAGCGATAAATCATGGGGCAAGACTGTGGAGTTGGCTATTGGCACCGACCAGGCTGGGTCAGTGCGAATCCCGGCCTCTTACAATGGCCTTTACGGGTTAAAACCGACCTTCGGTCTAGTCCCCTACACCGGTGCAGGGTCCATGTCGCCCATGATCGACCACCTAGGCCCACTGGCGACCGAGCTTGAAGATGTCGCCGCGCTGTTGCAGGTCATGGCAGGCTACGATGGCTACGACCCGCGGATGAGCCCTGAAACCCCCTTGGTACATTGTGTAAAGCCTTACTTGAAACTTCTGCTCCAGGCCAGGGAAGAGATCCAGTCTACGCCAAAACCTGGCCACAAGCTGAGGGTTGGCTTACTGAAAGAATCTTTCCACATGCCTGGGGTTGCTGCCGATGTGCGAGATATTGTCTTCCAGGCAGCAACCCGATACTTTGAAGCTGTCGGAGCCTCTGTCTGCGAGGTGTCTATTCCAATGCACCAGCAAGGTCCAGCAATCTGGACAGCGGCAACCCGGCCCTCCATGTCCAATTACCTGTGTCAAGGGAACCCCTCTGGTCACCTTTCTTTTCTGTCGCCGCACACACAGATCAAATGGCCTCCATCCCAAGCGACATATGATACCTTGACATGCAACAATCCAGCTGTAGTCAACATCATGCTAAGCGAAAAGTTCGCTAGGGAGTCATCCAAAGCAGGGTTGGAGGCCAAGGCCCATCGCATGGTCTTTGCGCTCAGAGCTGCGTATGATTCTGCTCTTGACCATGTTGATATCCTCATCACACCGTGTGCTCCGACAGTCGCAATGCCTCACCCAGATCCAACCGGCCCCGATGGAAGAAGGGCCTCGGTCCTAGAAAGACTCGGTGTCGCCATTGGCTTGACTAGCAATACTTGTCCCTTTAATGTAACTGGCCACCCCGGGTTGAATGTACCTTGTGGCTTCTCCACGGCGAAAAACCACCCAGATGTCCCGCTGCCTGTAGGTATGCAGATTGTTGCAAGGCGTTGGGCCGATCAACAGCTTATCGAGGCTGCGGCTTTGTTTGAGCGGGGACGCGAGATATTCCAGAGCACAGTGGACTTTTCACAAAATTAAATTAAATGTTTTAGGGTAACTACAACGTTGAAAAACGGTAATGACTGTGACTAGTGTAAACAACTGTTATCTATTTTGCTTAATCACCTTATTACGGTCGAGATTTGTGCATTCTAGGCTTTGGAGAGGTCTAATTTGTTCAAAGTCATATTGGGCACATGTACTCCACGTCGTTTCTCACTGCTTCCTCAAAAATTTAGTTATCGCCTGATCCATAAAGTCTTTATCTGCTGCGTTACAGCCCAGTCCAGCCAAATGACCCCACGCAGATGGTATGACCATGAACGTTGAACGGGGAATCGCAAGTGACTCCTTCTCAGACGCTTCCCAGCGGAAGTACTGGTCTGTTGAACATGGCATAACCAGGACACGGGCCTTGATTCGTGACAGCGCTTCTTGTATAGATGTATCTCCCGAGACCAGCGTGACATCGGCTCTCTGCCACATGCCTATCTTGGCTAGCAAGTCATCAGGGTGCCAATTGCGGTAGTTTACCCCAGTCGCATCATTATCCCAATCGCTCAATGTTTCATATCCCATTGACTTGTACATCTCGTTTTCAAACCACTCCGGGCTTGTCAACCAGGCTGAGTATGCTTTTCCGAAAGCTCGTAGCCCGCCCAATGGCCTTGAAGAGGGTTCGTTGCGATCTCCTTTGTGGTAGTCGGCAGCATACTCCAGCGCAGCCTTTGGTCCCTCGAGAAACTGGTAGTTGTGGCGGCTGGTACGAGCCGAGGCGCAGATGATGACAGCATTCCGGACCATGTCGGGGTACATCAGGGTCCAGTAGTACGAGCACTGCCCGCCCATGGAGAAACCAACCACCACATCAATAGTTAGGATATTGAGATGCGAATTTATCAACTGGTGCTGAGCACGAACGCAGTCTTCGTATGTAAGTGTTTCGGGAAAGTTGACCTTATTAGACGGACTTGAAGATTCGCCATTACCAAACAATGCCACTGCAATAACCCTGTGTTCCCTGAGCGCGCCATGGCTAAAGGTTAAGGTAGATGGAAGCCGGCCACGGAAAGAGGTTAAAACAAGGGCCACTTTCTCCGCACTCGGGTTGATGTCTAGGAAGGCTAGCCGGATTGAGGTCGGACCGGTCCCATCCTGGAAGGTGAAGTCGTTGATTTGATAGTGCTGGGGTGTAGGGTCTGACATGATGACTGAATAAGACGCAACTCATTTTCCTCCAATAGTATAGAACGCCTGCACTAGTAAATTGAGCTTATATAGATTGGCCCTAGAGCTTCCTACTATGATGTGGTCTGTCGGAACGTCCGATGGGGATATTTTGTGGATCGTTGCTTGATAAGAAGGCAGGGGCCTAAGCGAAAGATAAGACAACCAGATGCCACACACTCTTTTGCAATTCTTGGGCGCTGCGAACCCCGTGTTAGTCTTTCCCGGTGACTGTGCAAAAGATTGGCCGTTCGGCAGTTCCGATCCCCCAGGGGGCTGAAAATGATAGCGACCATTAGTGAAAGGCTATTGTCAATACATATTGACACAAATATGCTAGCACGACAATGTATAGTATTTCGAGTGACATAACTGTCTTTGGAACAAATATTTGGAATAGATATCAAAACTTTGACCACATCTTACTTTTCCCGCAGCAAAAGACTTTTGCCGTAACGAGACAAACGAAGCTCGCCAGATAACTGGCAGCTGCAAACGCTATCACACCGTGATACTCACCGTTACAAATCTTGATGAATTTACCACCCAACGCGGTACCGGTGAGCATACTAACCATGTACATCAGTTCTGTAGAGAAAGCGATCCAAGAGAGCTTTTACTAACCTTATGCTGACGAGTATGTATGCCGTAGAGTAATATCGACCAAACGACTCGACTTTACATAGCTGGCCGACGCATACCGGAGCTAGGCTAACGTTGCTACCACCGAAGAAGCCAAAAACCAAGGCAAAGATAACCATAAGTGGCTCGCTTGACTTGGTCGGTAGCCACAGGCACAAGATGCTGAGGAAAGAGCCGAGAACAGTGAGGATAAGCATGTTGAATCTTCCTAGCCGATCGGCATAGAACCCCGGAACCCATCGACCAAATATTCCAGCGGCATTGATCAACGAGAGAAGCATGTAAGAAAAGCCTGCCGAGCTCCCGTGATCAAGCGCATAGGATGTCAGATAGGTAAAAGGAATGAATAGACCCCACTCAAGGAAGAAGACGCCAAAACTAGTTAAGGCCAAGCCGCTTTGTTGAAAGATGGATAAATCAGGGCGCACCGTCGAAAGAGTCAACCGCTTTGGGGCGAAGCGAGGACGAACCAGGATTCCGGCAAGCACGAAGGTGATGATACAAACAAAACCCGCAATCCGGGTTGCCCAAGCAAACCCAACCGTATCAAACAGTTTCTGGAGCACCAAGGGAAAGACAACACCACCAACAGCGCCCCCAGACGATGCAATTCCGGTGGCGAGTCCACGTCTGGCGTTGAAGTAGTGGGCAACAATGGCAATAGCGGGCCCAAAGATGAGCGAGAGACTGGTGCCACCCAAGACACCATATACGAGCATGAAATGCCAGTACTCTGTACAAATGCCCAGAAGCATGAGATACATAATTGTCAGAACGCCTCCGCAGCAGATCAACCCACGGGGACCCCTCGCATCGAAGATGGGCCCGGCCTGGATACCGAGAAGGAACGTAAAACCATTGTAGACGCCGAAGATCCAGCCCACGGCTTCGGGACTGTGGCCGCTGAGCTGGTTCCGCAGGAGGTAGGTCTGGAATGTTCCAATGCTATTCATAAAAGACATAGATCCAAACAAGGCCAGCCAGCTCCCGAGTACCACTTTCCAGCCCTCGCAGCCTCCTTCGGGATATTCCAAAATGACAGGTTCATCAATGCTCTCCGTGGAAATGGTGCAAGGGACTTGATGCGCAGTCTTCCCGCCGAGTTGTTTTTCGGTACCTCTCGATCCTGGACCAAGTGGGAGTTTCTCCGGTATGCCGGGAGGTGGTTGAGCCATGGCCATTGATGAGTTGTGCGAAATCTATCTTTCTTTTTTCTTTTTCTTTTTCTTCTTCAATGCGTTTTCCTCCACTGAAATCAAGGTAAGAAAATTCGGGATAAATTAAAACAGCCTTTGGTAGCACACCGACCATTATAATCCCAGCTGCTTTTGTTCTCGAGGTCCAGCCTCTAGATCTTGCCCGAAAGGGATGAAAAGGAACTATACAGTCCACAACGCCCCGATATCGGCTGATAGAGTGAGAACAGACGGTAGAAGTGGCCAACCGATCGGATATAGTGTGGCTTTTTCAGAAAATGCGACCAATGCCATCATCGCGCGAAACGAGGCGGACGCCCCGACACCAAGTATATAGCGCAGCGTCATCGGCTGCGCCATCTCCGTAGGTTGAGCACGAAAGTGGAACCATATATGGATGAGTTTAATCATGGTCACTGGGGCGGCCTTCAAATATTAAAGAAGCCCCGTTTGATGATCAAATGCCATAATCGTCACCATCGCTCTTTCCCACAATAAGCCACTGCAACCCACAAGTCAGCCAGCCACACTTAGCCACCATGTCTCCCAACGGACAAGCATACCTAGTCAAGCCTGATGCCCCCGAGGGTGCCACAAGGTTCCCCCAGGCTCGACTTGCACCCCTCTCCAACCACCGCACCATCTACGTGTCCGGCACCGCGTGCTGTCGCCCTGATGGCACCTGGCCAGGCGTCACTGAGACTTCGGACGGAAAGCACATTCTCGATATTCGCAAACAAACGGCGGCAGTCCTCGAAAACATCGACAACATCATCAAGGGCGCAACAGACGGAAAGGGTGGCATCCACAACTTGATTGACGCTGTTGTGTACATATTGGACATGGAGAGCCAATACGCTGGCATGAACGAGGAGTGGAACAAGGTCTTCAAGACCCGAGACAGTGCACCCGCTAGAGCCACCATTGGCGTCAGAGAGCTGCCTGACCCGCGAATGATTGTCGAGGTCAAGGCTGTTGCAGTCGTTGATATCTAGAATAAGAAAGACCAATAAATCAATTTAACGACTTTGCATAGAGTATACAATGTCATGTTGTTATTATCGAGCTATTCGTATTTAAGACATGCCTCAGAGCTAGAATTCCGGCCTCAGAGCTTGGGCTTAACACTTTCTGAATGGTTCATTACACGAAACTGCCTTCCATGCTTTACTAGGCACAGCTAGACTGCATATCATATCTTTCTATAAGAATGAAGCGACAATATATTATGTCAAGATAAGTCGCGCCAGACATCTCAATTACGCCTGTTACAATACCCTTCCTCATCACTTACTACTGATCGTGTAGAAAGGCTCCAAATCTTGGCAGTACAAATTCATTGTAGAAAGCTCGAGGTTTGAAAAACGTAGCAGAGTCGGTTAAAGTTGAAAAAAACCCAAATAAAAGCCGAAAAAGAGTTGAAAAACCACATGTTTTGAGATATTCCATATTCCTAGTAAAAACCACGCACACTCTCACCTCTATCATTCCAAACAAAACTAATCCCGTCGGACCGATCGACGAGTCCGAAAAACGATCGGAGAGTCCGCTAGCCAATAGTTCATCACCGGCCCCCAATCAAAGAGGATACTATGGCTGGATGAGGAAATCAATCTATTCTTTATCTCAATCTACCGTACTCATTACCCTGTAGTGATGGACAACCCGATAAGGTAAACCTGGACTTCCGACAATTTCCATAGTATCGTTGATATCTCTGCGCCCTACAACAGACACGGGCAGCCTACACCATAGTTGCGACCGAGACAGGGCGAATTTAAGGCTTAGCTGTCTAATTGTCTTTTAAATAACTTGTTGAGTTCAGTTACTATCAAAACGGCATTCTGCTTTCTCTATCCAGGCGAAGACCCCATCCCATATTCACATTTACAGATTCCACGTCATGACTTCATCCCCTGTGGTTCTCATCACCGCCGGCAGTGCAGGCCTGGGCGCAGTGGTGGCCAAAACCTTCGCGCAGGAAGGGTATCGTGTGGTCGTCAACTATAACTCCGATTCTGAGCGAGCCGAGAGTTTAATTGCCCAGCTATCCAGCCAACAAGCGGGTCAGAGCGCTGGTGACCTGGACTCAGTCAGACACATAGCTATACGTGCCGACCTAGGTTCTCAGGCTGACATTCAGCGTCTTGTGAAGGAGACCTATGATGCTATGGGTCGCATTGATGTCCTCTTCTCCAACGGAGGATGGTCAAGGTTTCGTGATACGATATCCATAGATGATAATGTTCATGAAGAGGACTGGGACCAAGCCTTCAATATCAACGTCAAGTCCCATCTGTGGATATTACATGCCGCAAAGCCTCACCTCGAGCAAGTTGAGGGATCTTTCATAACCACCTCTTCAATCGCAGGGGTAAGGGGAATGGGTAGCTCTTTGGTAATAATTCAATCGCATATCCCCGGCTCCGGTATACGTCGCCAACTAACAATCTACCCTAAGGCCTATGGTGTTACAAAAGCTGCTCAGTTACATATGGTCAAGGCCCTGGCCGGTATGGTGGGCCCAAAGATCCGTGTGAATAGCGTTTCTCCGGGACTACTTCAGACAGTAAGAATATATTTCCTACTTTAGGTGTACGAGAATCAAGCTCACCCCTTGAATAGGACTGGGCAAAAAGGTTTACGGATGAGCAAAAAGAGGCACATCGACAACAGACTAAGCTGAAGCGGTTTGTTGAGCTCGAGGTAAGCGATCTTCTATTTTGTGGCTGTTTATATATCTTGAAAACTAACGTTGGCGTTTTATGTAGGACGTGGCAGCACAGGTCCTCCTTCTCGCAAGGTCTAGAAGCATGACAGGCACAAACACGATTATTGACGCGGGCTGTTCTCTTTAAATACCACGTAGTTAGGTAGGTATATTCATCGACTCTCAGCAACAAGATATTTTTTTCTGTATCGTGAAAACAACCGGTGCGATAGTAGTAGCTCCCCATGATTTCGGAGGGTACATAAAACCGCACCCCAGTCTAAACAATAGAAAAATGGGAAGGGGATATTTCTTGAGACAACATTGAAGGACAGCGTGATAGCGCGACCCGTTACGTAACATACCCATGGACATATCCGTAGGTCCTGAGTTGGGATTGGCCTAGAATGCGGGGAAGCTCTAGATAAGAAGTATTGGGACAAAATCCCAATAACTGCACGTCTTAATATCACACATCATTGCGACTGATCTCTTCCGCAATGCCCGACGGCACAGCTCCTCCTATTTCGAGAACCTCGGGTTCCACCCCAGCAAGGGCACGAGCTTCATGCTCGCGCTGCCACAAAAGGAAGAAGAGGTGCGACAGATTATTACCCTCGTGCAAGAATTGTGTTTCGGCGCGGGTGAGATGTAGCTTCGAAGAAGATGATCTCCAGACAGCTTCGTACCCCATAGAGTGAGTCACGGCAAGGAACTGAGGAACTAAATGAGATGAGTCTCTCCCATCGTTTCATCCCAAATTCCATAGAGCCGCCCACTCCCCTGAGTAGTTTTAAAGCCGCTTGCTTACATGCTCACAGATATGTTCAGGGTCTGGAAGAAAAGCTTCGCCGCCTGGGGAGGGCTATGAGTGCCAAAGAGCGTAACACACCCCAAGACGAGGAGGCTATGCCGGTATTAAACAACAATAACCTCTATGATGACATTGAAATGCAAGAACCAGTGATGGTAGATCCACAATGCAGCTCGCAAGGTGTTTCTGGAGGCAATGTCGAAAGCGCATCTACCGTTGCCGACAACGCCGAAGGTCTGATACAAGGCTCTGCTGTGAACCCATGGCCCGCACCAGAGCAGACCTCAACCTTTGGTCAGCAATTGACAGCGCTCTCTCTAGAGGCTACTGCGGAACGGCACTTGGGATCGACCACGGGACTCTCCTTCGCAAACTTGACCCAGAAGATCCTACGTCGTTTGACGCCAGATAAGGCGGACTTTGTATTCAATAGCCATCAAGAAACCACTACAGGGATTGATAACTTGGACTTCAGTTCTCCTTCAGACCCCTTCAACGACTCGTTCTTCCAAAACCTGAGTGAGTCCATCTCCACCCATCCGCTTCTGTTTGGTGACCTCTTCTTCGCCGACTTGGCTGGGTCTGGTGCCACGCTTGATCCTCTGGCCTGGCCAAATGATGAGACACATGTGCGGCGGCTAGTGGACTTTTATTTTGCTCACTCCCATACCCTCTATCCAATCTTGAAGCGGTCCGAGGTTATGGACACTCTTGAAAAGGTCTGTCAAAATCCTCAGAACCTGGCCACACAAGCTCCCGTCGACGTTTTCAGAATCTGGATGGTCCTGGCCATCGGTTCCACTGCCTACTCTTCTGTCACTCTGACTGAGGAATCGGAATCAATGCTCTTTTACAACAACGCCATGCAGTATTCTGAGCAAGCCCTGGGAAGTGACGAAATGGTAGGAAAACCTGCCAGTTATTTCACCAGTGACCAGCACAGCTGATGAGAAACTAGTCTGCCTTGGAGGCCATAATGCTCCAGGTCTCTTTTTCCTTTTTCAATCAACTAGGTCCTAGTGAGTGATCGAGATTCGACTGATATTCCAAGCACTGACGGAAGCAGACACCTGGTTTCTTGTTGGCACGGCTGCCCGTCTGGCCTTAGGAATGGGGCTCCATTCGGCCTCGTCATATCGCAGGTTTCCTCTTGATGTGCAACAAAGACGCAAGCGGATATTTTTTTCAATATACATGATGGATCGGTAGGTTCTTGTCATCACCTCTCTCGTTCCAGATTTAGCCGACTAATAGGAATACTCAGTGTTGTTTCCATTACGTTGGGCCGACCGTTCGCAATTCATGACGACGATATAGATGTAACGGTAAGTCTGATATCTGTGTGAATGAACAGCAAAATGATTTCTTGAAAAATGGTTGACTGAGTGAGAACAGGCCTTTGAAAATGCCGACGAAGAATGCATACACGCCGACTGTATAATCCCTCAAACCTCCCTCCAGCCCTCGCTGATGGCTGTTCCGCTCCACATTCTATCTCTGCGGAGAATTGCAGGCAAGATTTCGCGGAAGGTCTACAGAAACGCCAAGGACGCAAGTTTGAGCTCGCAAGAACGCGAGGGAATAATAGCTTCGTTACACCAAGAACTCCTTGACTGGCGCCGGAGCATGCCCTTCCCGCTCCCCGACGTCAACAACAACGTACCACATCTCAACACAACCTGGTATGACTTCAATTACTATACTCACCTCGCGATGATATACAGACCATCCCCATTATTCCCCGTTTCAGACTTGAAGCGGATCAAAATACTGGAGACGGCAGCGTCAATGTCACTCCGCCAAGCATTCAGCATGCATCAGCAACAACGATTTGCCTACAACTGGTTGAATTTCCTCGCTCTCTTCACAGCGACGCTATCATTAATCTACGCAATTACCGCCCAGCCTGATGACCTTAGCGCCGTCCTGAGAAATACACGAGCTATCGCCGATCTCGACCTCGCAACACAGCTTTTCGAGATCCTCGGACTCAAGTTTGTGGAAGCCAAGAAGATTCAAGGCATGATCGCTGAGATATCTCGGCGATATAAGGAGGTTCTTGCCTTGAATAATATGGAGGCCAATATGAGCTATCATAGTGAAATATGATTCTCACTATTCACCCAAAGAAATGGTGGTACCATGTGATTTCTACCTTCATGTAGTGTGAGAGAAGGCCTTGAGCATTATGAAACGCACCAAGATATCCAACTTGACTCCATTTCCCCTAGACAAGGCATGTTCCCATTTAGGTACATTTGGCCTGGTAAGAGGCGCGGGAGGTGAACCCTGGGTAATGAACATGGGAAGTTCACAATTAACAGAACCAGATGACATCGGAGTGTCTTTTGACTCGAATGTCATGTATACTTTGAAATGAAATCATATTTAGCATGTATAATATTTGCTATGACGTGGGCGAACACTCAAAGACCTTCCTTCCGTTGGCCCAGCTCTGATGAATTGTCGCTTCCAGCAATGTCTCCGGGGTCCATTTAGTATCTAGCACAATAAAATCTGCCCGATGGTTAGGAGCGATGCTTCCTACCCATCCCTCAGCAAAACGTGAATATGCTGCTCCCGAGGTCGCTGCAGTAAATGCCTGGATCAGAGTAAGCCCATTATGAGGATTCACGATCTGTTCGGAATCTGGCTCAAGGGCTGATCTCCGGACTGTCGCATTGTATAAGTTGGGCAAGGGCAGATGCCTTGCTGTCGGTGAATCGGTCCCAATGGCAACGCAGGCGTTCCCATCGGCGTACTCTCGATATGGAAATGCTCGTTCCCATAGATGAGGCTTCAAAATCCGTGGATACGCTTTAGTGAGAGCTGGATCGGAGTGAACGGGCTGGATGGATGCAGTGATTCCTAGCTGGCCCAGTCGCTTTGCATCCTCCACCGAGGTTAGCTCGAGGTGCTCAATCCTATGCCGACCATGCGGGCTGTTGGTGGCGGCAATGCTTTCGATGGCTTGTGTGATGGCAACATCACCAACTGCGTGGATCGCAACTTGTAGACCCGCATCGGCAGCCCTTTTCACAACTTTGTTCATAGCTTCCGCCGGCCAGATCGGATTGACCGCAACATCGCCGTCATCTTGACTGTATGGATGGCTCAGGGCTGCCGTACAGCCATCCACCACGCCATCGGAAATCATTTTAATCCCAATCACGCAGAAGTCTGGTGAGACCGAGGGATGGAACTCCTGATGCTTCGCAATGGCTTCTTCTATGTGCTTGGATAGCTCTGATTCATCCTCGGTAAATGGGATATACCAGTGCGCTGCCACATGGATCGGAACACTCTGTTTTGTCCGCAGCAACGTCAAGGCCTCCCATGAATCGGTATCCATGGCCATATCGATTAGTCCCGTATAGCCCGATTCAAGGTAAGTAGTTAAAGCGTTATCCAAAGCCACCAGTCGGTCTTCCACAGTACACACACTCATCAGATGCGGCCAGACAATTCCTGTCTGCGCGGCTTCATCTAAGAGTCCCGAGGGCCTTCCATTCCCATCCCGATAAATCGTGCCACCAGCTGGATTGGGTATCGAACCAACCCCCAGTTCATTCAATGCGGCCGTATTGCACCAAGTGGAATGAAGATCTAGAGCTTCAATGAAGATAGGACGAGGATCAATGTGATCAATCATGCTCGCCAGAGCTTTCCCGTTGGTTGAAGGCTGATGCCAGCCTCGGCACAGAACTCGTGGCAGCTCCGGATTCGCTTTGGCGTAGTTGACGAGGGCACTTTCAATGGCCTCAAAGGTTTTGCAATCACTTAAATCGAGTTTCTGGAGAGCTAGTCCGAAGAGAAGAAAATGTGTGTGGCCATCGATGAATCCAGGCACCACTACCCGATTATACAGGTCAATTACCTCCGCGCCTTCTTCCTTTGCTGTCTTGATGGCATCATCACTCTCATATCCGACATGCGTAATCGTCCCTCCCGAGACCACAAAACTTCTCAGAAATTCAGTCTCGGTTGGTGCTTGGCTTGGACTGAAAACTCTGCCGTTGTGGAAGACGGTTGTGTGTGTCATTGTGTGGGTTGGGCAGCTATGAATGGCTAAATATTATTGAAAGTACACCAAGCGGAATCAATGAATTTATTTTGAAGTTCTCATATCCCCGATTGCTCTGACTGGTCAATCCAAGCGGAGGAAATCGATTAGTTACGCTTTCCTCTAAGCCCCATCTGGCTGTTGTCGGGAGGCCCGACGCGTCAACGCCGCAAACTCAGAAATGAGCACCAGGCACAATTTGATTCGACTATGATGAAACCAAAGCGTGATTGTTCGATACCAAATAGATGATCTGCGGCACCAGCGGACTCTGCGCTTTCGTTATCGTAGGCTAGGTATGAGTCAGTACGTATCTGCACCAAATACCTGAATCAGATTGTATTCTATATAAGACTAATTAATCATGCTGCACCATCAGAGTGTTATTTGACATTCGAACTTCCAGTGGAGAGTGAGCGCTTAGTCCAATAGAATCTCACAATTATCTCGCTCGTTGTGTGGTATCAACTCAGTATGAGACCAAGGTTCTCGACCGGTTCTCGGCCTCCAAGTTCGACCTGCAAACAGACTACGAAGATGGATCGGACCATCCGAAATTTGGCCTGTCACCCCGCTATCAAAGACTTGCCAATCTGGTGGCTGGCAATTAGGACGGGAATTAAGCCTACGATGTTGTTATCTGGGGAAGTCTTTAGTGACTGGCTTCATTGCTTATCAAATCTATAGAAACCTTTTCAATGTAGCTTTAAATAAAGAGTTAATGTTACCCTAGGGAGACTGATACTATTCCTGTCAAGCTCACTGCCAAACCTATAGTTGTCTGGCGTTATCATTTACAGTCAAGATGTTTCCTGACGATAGCCATCATAGAGGCTCAGGGTCACCACCAGGAACTGTTCCCCTAGAGGGTAGGCGCTTTGAAATTTTCATCCAGATCAAGCTTCATACTGACAGCTGAATCTTTTCGACTAGATCTCCAGAGAAATGCTTCAGGTGTGATTATCTTACAACCTAAGCCAACAAGGGATCCAAATGATCCGTTAGTAAGTGAATTGATGTGAATATATGTTTAATGGTAACTCATCCAGCGTATAGAACTGGAAGATTTGGGAGAAGTACCTCAATTTTGGGCTTGTGTTGCTGTATTCTTTGCTTGTCTTTGCCTGGTAAGTTTCCTTCGGCTTTTTCCGTTACGCTCTCTCCCGTATTGATAAGAGGAGAGTCGCAAATACTGACTTTGCTGGGTTTGATAATAGTATTGGAGCTTCCACCCCCACATGGGCATCGATGAACATTGAGCTGGGATATAGCTATGAGACCTTGCAAGACAGCTATGCAGTTGGTTCGGCCGCATTATGTATTGGAGCATTGTTGTTCATCCCTACAGCACTCAAATTTGGTCGACGTCCAATCTACGTGATGAGTACACTCTTACAATTTGGAGTGGCCGTTTGGTTTGCAAAGATCCAAACGGTAGCTGACTTGATGCTTGTGAATGCCTTTTCATGTCTTCTCGGGGCACTGGCGGAAGTGATTGTTCAGATGACGGTGGCTGACATTTTCTTTGTACACCAAAGAGGCATGATGAATTCAATTTATGTCTGGATAATGATTATTGGGTCTGCACTAGGACCTCTAGCTGCAGGTTATGTTACAACTTCGCAAGGTTGGCGGTGGGTATGGTGGTGGATGGCTATCCTTTTTGGCATCAGCTTTGTGCTGTTTCTCTTCTTCTATGAAGAGACCAAATTCCTTGGTTGCATCAACGGCTTGGCCCCAGTCAATCACCCCCAACGAGAGGATTCTGCTGGGCCCAGAGGCAATCTGAAGGGAGAAGATTTTGAGAAAAACCTAGATGCAGAAGGTGGCGGAAGGATATCCGAATTAAACACGCCAGATATCGACCTATCCATATTACGAAAGACTTACTTGCAGCGACTTTCTCTGTGGTCATCGTCTCCAGGCTCGCTGAAGCTTTTTCTCCGTCACATCTACCAACCTCTCATTGCGACTTTCGCTTTTCCAGCCGCACTCTATGTCGCAGTGGTATACGGAATGTTGACAGCCTTGTGGCAAGTCATGATAACTGTGGTGGCTTCAGTTATGCCCGAGCCACCCTATAACTTCACCGCCTCGCAGGTCGGCCTTATGTCCTTGGCCCCCTTCATTGGAACAACAATCGGAAGCGTGATCGTTGCACCTCTGAGCGATAGGCTAGTTTTAAGACTAGCCAAGAGAAACGGAGGAGTATACGAACCCGAAATGCGCCTGTGGATTTTGCTTGCATTTTCTCCATTAGTTCCAGCTGGAACATTACTCTTTGGATACAGTCTAGGAAATGCCCAACCGTGGTACTTTGTTGCCATCGGTTACGGACTTTATGGTCTTGCCATGGGACCTATCAGTAGCACATCTTTGACTTATTTGACTGATGCCTATACAAATGTGAGTAACATTTATCAGTCGATAGATAGTGGGCGGAGAGCTAACCATACGTTTGCCTTAGATCGTAGCCGATTCACTGGCTGGAGTGACTTTTTTTAGGAATCTTTTTGCAACAATTTTTGTGTTTGCACTTACACCCTGGACCGCTGCCGTCGGCATCAGAAACGTGTTTCTTACAATGGGAATTATCATGTCAATCGTACTGATTCCGGGTACGATTGCTTTTCTCTATTATGGGAAGAGCATCAGATGCTGGACTACAGATCGGTATCGCCGGTGTTCAGCATTATAGCTTCAATCGCGGGCAATATGAACATGTTCGATCACATTAAGGCAACTAGGGCCAGAAACTATGCCATATGAGGGCTTTTATTTTCTAATGGATTTTATATTTTGTTTAATGTTGCGTCCTACAACATGCAATTGTTTTTGAGTTTGCCTCATGGCTGATATCATATATGTTTAGGCCGACATGTCCGTTAAAAGTTCCTATAGGTGGATTCCGTGTACAGCAGAAGATATTAATGTCGAAAGGCAACATTGAATGAGTTTTTACCCCTTAACACTATAAGGCGGTGGAAACCCTGATATCATGTAAGTTTGCATATTACAATTTCCCAGCATATTGATTAAAATTTCCCATTTTGTCTATTTAGTTAAGAGACTGAAAATTATACCACTAAAGGGAGCCATATATTGTCTAACCACTGATTGCTGCTACTATTTGTTCAGACTGTAGCTAAGGCCCTTCGAGGTCTCGCCGCCTTCTATACGATACCTAAAATGTCGTTAGAGGGTCGAGCTATATTCGTCTTAGTGATCGCGCTAGTGGTTAAAGATATCCACGCTACCGAGAACTATGTAAGTGATTTTGCATCATCACGTTCAACTTCGTACGGCAGTTGGACCCACAAAGTTACATAAGTTCTAACGAAAAACCATGTAACTTCAGTTTAATAGGTTCGTCACATCCAAACCTATCCTTGTAGATCCCGCAGATCTTGCAGATCGTTGCAAATAGGGGGTTCACACCTAAGGCATCAACATTCCCGCCATGTCCCGAAATATCTGAAATATCGAGGGGAAAAGAGAGAGGACACATATAATTGCATAAATACACAAAATGGGTCGAAAAGTACAAAGATCACTCATCCAACTAATTTTCTTTCTCTGCATTCTCTTTCTGATCTTATACCTCAACCGCCCGCAATCAACCAAAGACAAACTTTTCGCCTGGACCAAAATCCGCTACAGAACAACCTCATCCATCATCCCGGAAGCCCGCGGAATCTGCCCTGGCCTAGCAGAAACAACCAAACCAGCCTTGATAGTCTCCCATGTCTCCACCGACGGTGACCCGTCCTGGCTAGAACCCCTCCGCACACAGTACCATGTATGCATGTACCAAGTGGACGCGCCAGCAGACAAAACCTCCAAACTGCTTCAAGTTCCTGCAAATCGCGGACATGAAGCAATGGCCTACCTAACCTTCTTAATCGACAACTACGCAGACATACCATCCGCCGGCGCCGTCTTCGTGCATGGCAGCCGCTGGGCTTGGCACAACGACATCCCAGACTACGACAACGCCGCACTCCTACGCAGTCTGGACGTCCGCGCCGCGCTGCAGCCAACCGGGTACAGCAATCTACGCTGTGACTGGAGTGCGGGAACGTGTCCTTCTTCCGTGCCGCCGCAGGGCAGTCTCGAGATGAGGCTGTCGAGCGCCGTGTCGCCGTGGAATCCGCGCGCGGCATCAGATATAGCGCTGCCGAAGGCGCTTGGCCACATCTTTGGTGGGGATGCTGATGCACGCGTCGATGAGATCCGTAGTGCATTCCATCTTTATCTTGGTCGGAATGATGCCGTCCGCGCGCAGTGCTGTGCGCAGTTTGTTGTTTCTCGCGACCGGGTCTGGCAGCATGGCCGGGATGAGTATATTGCGCTTCGACAGTGGCTACTAGACGGGAGTGACGATGGGGTTGCGCGGAATTCTCAGCGCGTGTCTAGGGCTGCGCCCGGTGATGACCTTGTGGCTGGTCGGATTGTTTCGTATCTTTGGCATATTCTTTTTGCCAATTATGGAGATAATGGGGCTATCGAGCTTGACCAGTTGAATCGCGATGCCTGTCCTACTGCAGCTGAATGTTATTGTCGGTTGTATGCCAAGTGTGATTTGAAGTGTCGGGGTCCGGGGAGCTGTAAAGGGCAGTACTCTGTGCCGGAGAACTTCAAGCTCCCCGAGGATTGGGAGAAAACTCATTCATGATGCATGATTTCTCTTGTGGTTGTGAAACTTGTTTATAGATAGGATCTTGAACATTTTGGGCATATATATTGGCATAGATTGGGAATAGACTGGGAATAGACTGGGAATAGGTTGCGATGCATTTTGATAAATAAATTGGATATCGTGTGAATTCAAGTTTGTTCGATAGAGTTATGTACAAATTGTGAGAGCTAAATAATGTTTCCCTCTGCCTCTAGAATCTGGAAAGGACTCGCTCTTGGGTATCTTTCAGGGCATACCTGGAGCTGTGCGTCTTGCTCACGACGGACTTGGCCTGTTCGGCAGTGAAGCCCTTGGCCTCCACGGCTGGGTTATAGCCCAGACCATTGATCTTGCCAACAACGTCCGATGGCACAGCGGCGGCCACCTTGCCATCGGTACGCTTGTAGACGGTCACGACAACGGCACCACCCAGACCGAGGTTGTGTTGCAGTGCCGCGGAAGTACCGTTGATCAGGCGGTTGTTGGCCCAGCCACGCAGGTGCCAGACCAGTTCAGCACATTGGGCAATACCCGTAGCACCAAGTGGGTGACCCTTGGAGATGAGGCCGCCAGATGGGTTGATAACCATCTTTCCGCCGTATGTGATATCGCCACGGCGGACCATCTCGTGAGCTTGTCCGGGTTCGCAGAGCTCCAGCGCATCGATGGTGATCATCTCATTGGCCGAGAAGCAGTCGTGCAGCTCGCAAACCTTGATATCCTTGATATTCACGCCGGCCTCAGCGACGGCAGTGCGGCACGCCCGGCGCGACATGCCGAAGCCCATCAGGTCAATAGAGCTCGTGCTGTAGACTGTGTCGGTATCGGTGGCAAGACACTGGCCGGCAATGAGGATGGCGTGTTCCTTCAGGTGGGGACGCGCATCGAGGAAGTCCTGCGAGACAATAACGGCGGCGGCACCGCCATCCGAGGTGGGGCAGCACTGCAGCTTGGTGAGAGGCTCGTGGATCATTGGCGCCTTCATGATCTGCTCGAGGGTGTATTCGGTTTGGAATTGCGAGTAGGGGTTACGCTTGGAGTGCTCGTGGTTAACGCGGGCGATTTCCGCGAAGTCCTCGTTCTTCGCACCGTACCTGTTTCCCATATGTTAGCATCATATTGCTGCTCATCATAGGTTGATATCGCCTTGGAAGGTTGCGTACTTCTCCTTGTATTCCACACCCGCATTTCCGAACATCTGTGCGGCACCAGGCGCGTTCGTTACACCCCGCGTCTCGGCCATCATCGTTCCAAACAGTCCTGTTGGGTTCTCGCGATCGTTGTACATGCTTTGCAAGCTACCGGGGTTCATCTTCTCGAAGCCGACGACCAGCACGCAGTCCGCAGCACCGTGTGAGACCATAGTGCGGGCCATAGCGAGGCCAGTTGAACCAGTCGAACAGTTGTTGTTGACGTTGTAGATAGGGATGCTGGTCTGGCCGAACTGGTAGAAGACGCGTTGGCCACATGTGCTGTCGCCATATACATAGCATGCGACACCCTGGTCAACATCGTCATAGTTGATCCGGGCGTCAAGCATGGCTTTGATGCCGGCCTCATAGCCTAGCTCATGGTAGTCAACCTTGCCGCGTGGCTTGATGAACTTGGTCATGCCGACGCCCAGGACGTAGGCGGGCGTTCCTTGCTTCTTAACCATGGTGTATATGTGAATTATTGACAGAGGTAGATATAAGTAGATTGAATGGTTCGACTCGAGAAGGGGGTCTTTATAAATAAGACTCGGCCGGGCATGTGGGGAGCTCAATAAGAAATTGCGGGGAGAGACCGAGGTCCCGAGGAACCAGCTCCGCGGCACTGCACAATTTATTCACATAGTTTCAACATAACAATGTTGAGATAATTATTCTAAGGATACTCAATCTCACCGGGATTTCTCAAGCAGAAAAAAAAAACACAAGTGTCCTTTATTTAAATTTAGGCTCACGTGATATATGACCGGGAGGTACAATCCACAACTTCAACAACACCCAATCCAGTTGATCAGCACAAGTGCAAACAAGTATCATTAATCATACATATGATTGCACAAGTTAACATGGCTTGACGTTCTATGGATATGGTTTTTATGAGCCACATTCGGGCCAACCCAACTTCCAACCTTCCCCGGGGGGGCAATTGAATGCCCCTAACCGATCTACGTGCCATATTGCATCTTGCAATATACCATTTCCACACCAAAGAATTGTCCTACTGGCTCACAGCGGCGTGAGGGAGATTATATTCAAACAGCTACTAGTACTCTCCACTCTCCACTCTCCACAAGGTCGGGAATAAGGAAGCCGCAAGACTGGGAAACCAGATAACTAGATTGTTGCTTAATGGTCAGTCTTTCCAACATGAAGACAATGTGGTTTGATTTGAGCCTGGAAGTTGGTTTACAACCATTCCACGGTTTTGATAGATTCAATTAATTGGTGGGTTATAATGAGCCCAATTTATACGCGGGGCCCAACCCCATCACGGACTACTGTCCTCCACATAGAGATCACCATCCATGGTCTAACCTTCTGTGATCAGGTTGGATAAAGTATCCTGTCTTTGAAATAGAAGATAGCACCAGGCTGCGACCGGCAGATGTGCCATGGCGCCAAGACCTGGGTATGTTTATCAATATCTTAGGACAAGAGACATAGACACAAATCAATGGAACTGATTTTCCGATCCCATGTGTGCTTAGGAAGTAATCCGGGGGCAAGCAGTAAGATGCGGGTGTCTCCGCTGTTCACGACGACGTCACTCTGTTTGGCCCTAAACCCTTTTGAGCATTCAAGTCAAGCTCGGTCCACATGCCATTCTACCTCCCACTTCCCTCTTCCCTTTCTTCACATAGCATTAGGTCACCTTCTGTTTGGTGGGATACGGAAATAAAGTAAGTAATCCCCGTCTGGCCGACAAACTCGCAATCGGTAAATTCCTGCTATTCAGAAAGGCGGGGAACGCAACTTGATACTAATGGTCGTCTTTTCACAGCGCTCGATCAATCTCAGCAACCCATTGCTATAGACGAGACATATTGGAAAAGAATATCCCAATTATCTGGAACAGGGGACTCTTGTTGAATATCCCTTGAACTGCTTAATCCCACACCACACCTACTAGATCCCATTCGCGAACGCGGGGTTGCATCCATTGCTGTGGCTGCCGTTGCTTCGGCCACCAACATCGAGCCTTTGCTTATAATCTGCAAAGACACATCTAAACGCACCGATCTATACTGCGAGTGTCTCCCGGGGTACTTTCCAACAGACTGAAGCTAGTACTGGGTTGGTCGGGCCCGTTTAATGGACAATTGTGGGACGCCGAACGGTCTACTCGAGTTCTGAGAGACCGCTTTGCGTTCCATCGGGTTCCCCAGCCTGCAAGTATAAGAGTCTGAACAGAATTCAACGTTCTGCCACGACTGACGGAGAGATATTGCCATAGCTATTTCTTGCTGCCGCCAATGGAGAACGTTCAGGGATGACTAGAGACAACAGTTCTGAACATGCACCATTACCCTCGTCAACTCACCATACAAAGACCGCCATCATGCCAAACCACAAAGCTTGGAATATGGATGAGGCCACACGCCACAGACTCCTCAAAAAGTACAAAACCCAGGTGGCTTCGGGGGCGTCGACCGTTTGCGCGACGTTGGCGGTGGTGAGTTCTCTACCCCGTGGACTTTTACTTCAAATTCTAAACCTTCAAATTTCTACAATATGGAATGTAAACAATGCTAATTCTTCATGATTCATTTGGCAGACTCCTTTAGAGAATGTCAAGACTCGGATGCAGACGTAAGTATCTGTACTCTACGTGACCTCGGAGATCGGAACAGCATGCTAATTAATCTCAAAGACACAACTTCAAAAACATATGGCAGTGTGTTCGCTATCTCTGGCGTACCGAGGGGCCTAGGGGATATGTAGCTGGTAAGTCGGTATCCATGAGTCGGTAGCTGAAGGATGGACTGATCGTTACATAGGCGCGCTTCCACCCTTGGCTAGCGTTACGGTGGTCCGTGTTGTCAACTTTACTGTGTACAATGCCTTCAAAGACATAATCGCTGATAACGTCGAGCGCGTAACTGGTTATAACCCTTTGGATCACTATAAAACCCCCGGAAGCACCCCCACCGTGACAGGGGTGCTTACCTTTACCGGTGCAGGCCTTGTCGCCGGATTGGTTGCATCGCCCATCGCTTGTATGTCCATACCTATTAGATGAAAAAGTGGAAGGCGAGGAGCTGACATTAAAACAGGCCCCTTTGAGCTGGCGAAGAATGTCGTCCAGACCTCCGTTCTCGTGTCGAACCGCGCAATGGCTGATCCAAACGCAGTCCGAGACCAAACTCTGCGTCACAAACCCCGCTTAGGGACCATTCAAGCCATCAAGCAGATATATATACGACATGGATTCTGGGGCCTTTACACCGGTTTCCGACTCCATGCGTTGCGCGACACCGTGGGATCAGGTCTATATTTCAGTGTTTACGAGACTGTGAAGCAAGTAGCAGCCAAGGAGTTGGGCCAAGACAAGAACCCCTTCGGTGCACCTATGATTGCTGGTGCCATTTGCAGCACTGTACCCTGGTTCTGCGTATGTGATCAGACCGGTTCCCCTATTATGAGGAACATGCACTAACGTGGACCACAGACTTATCCCCTCGACACACGCAAGACTCGTGCACAGAGTGTTCTGCTGGGGAAATCGAGCGAGATAGGCGAGGCCTCGCAGGCTGTCGCCAAATCCAGCATGTACAAGGGCCTGTCGATCATTCTTATCCGGACCGGCGTCAACAACATGATCTTGCTCAGCATTTTCGAATACATTAGAATGCGAATCGATGAACTGCCGAATTAAACCACCAGTTGATGGGGCCACGGCAATCATGCTAGGATGAAATGGAGGTTCACCTGTCGAACATTTTCTTTGCCATTGTGCATGAACATCAAGGTCCTTTTTCGTATTTATTACCGACATACACACATGGATGAGCTCGAAGCTCATTTTTAACAAATAGCAGATTGAATTATCAAAGTTTGAAGTCATATGTCAGAGAGGAAAAGTATTGCAAAAATGGATGCAATCGTCGTAGCGCTAGAATAACTTCACAATCGGCAGCATCTTCTCGGCCATATAGTTTGCATCCCACTTGAAGTTTCTTTAGCCAGATATTCTGTTCCATGGTTAGTCTAACAATCAGTTGATTGCTTTCTGGCTTGAACAATGGCGCTGTTTTGGTTATGCTCGGTCTTAGTCTCGCGTCCATAAAATCATCTAGCAATCCCTCTTCTTCGAGAAAGAAGATTGAACGGAGGCCATAAATTGATCTGGGTGGTTTCTGCCATCATCTTCAGCTTACAGTCGACAATAATACAGCCCAAACTCTTGTGTCTACCCATCCAACTCCACGCCACACGCAAGATATTGAAGCCCTCGAATCAATCGCCGTCGGATATCGCTCTCTTGTTGGAAGGGAGTGCTCCGTAGACACGCCACACAACCGTAGATCAAACGTAGGGCTTGGTGACGCTCATATCTAGTCCTGCCTTCAAAATCCGTTTCATAACAGAGATTGGTCTCCTCGGCAGCGTGCAAGTCCCTGGTGGCAAAGCTTGAGATGACCTCTCCACCAATGGTTGGAATTTTCGAGTTGGGTACACATCAATGGTTGAAGCGCCATGAGTAGCCTGGGCATAAGATAAGCAACTCATGACCTTGAGCAAGCTAAATGCGAGGACCGGGTATGGAATGAAGACCCCCTTTGCATGATTGGGCTCAAGTGATGCCTCAGGCCATTAAACGTCATCCCGTTGCCCGGTGGGGTTGAATTTCCCGCCGTCAAAACAAACGGAGTCTTCCACACCCCCGCCTCGAGCGAAAATGGAGTCGTGAGTACTCCCATGACTATGCGAAAAGGTACAAGACGAGGGCAAGGCCACTGACATTTTCTTCTGTTTCATTTCTATAGTAATATCCTCCAACTCCCGTTCCGGCGCTCCCATCCCGTATCACTGTCCGAAGCAATCACCCAGTACATCTCCTCCAAATATGATCAGCGCCCGGATATGTTCGCTGAGGATCTAATGATCATTGATCGTCTGAGATCCGAAGCTGTCAATGTCCAGGAACCACATTTTAGTGGTATCAGTCGCCTGGTCACATATGCGGCTCAGCTGAAATGGATGGGTGGAAAGTTCCCAATTGATGTGCGCCGCTCTTCCTAGCTCCTTGCTCTATAATTTGGTATTGAAAACTGACAGCTGGCATGCTATATAGGTCGGAGTGGATTTTTCGTGGTATCCGGCTTTTGGCTTTAATACTTCGCGGCCAGGTGAGTTGGTTTCTTGGGGTCACTCTCCGCATGGGTCCGGATATGAGACTAACAAGAATAAACCGTTTCTTTTAGTCTCGCAAAATAACCTACGCTTCGAACTAGCGAACATCCTATTCAATCTCGCCGCATTATACTCCCAGCTTGCATATGCGACCAACCGGACTACCGCAGATGGACTCAAACAGGCATGTAACTACCTCTGCTCCGCCGCTGGAGTATTGAGCCATCTTCGAACCGAAATTATCCCAGACCTTCGAACGTCGCCGCCGGAGGATATGGACGAAATGACCCTGCAGAGTTTGGAACTTCTTTTGCTCGGACAGGGCCAAGAGTGCTTCTGGCAGAAGGCTGTCAAAGATGGGCTGAAAGATGCATCTATTGCAAAGCTAGCAGCCAAGGTGTCCGATTTCTATGGCGACGCAGGTGACTTGGCTACCAAGTCTAATGCAATCAGCACCGACTGGATCCACCATATGACTGCAAAGCATCATCACTTTGCCGCTGCTGCTCAGTTCCGGCAGGCGCTTGACTGCTTGGAGAAGCGCAAGTATGGAGAAGAGGTTGCTCGGCTGCGCGATTGTTTGCTTTGCGTCAACGAAGGGTTGAAAGAGCAGCGGTGGATCAATCGGACTGTACTTGGTGACTTGACTGGATTGAAGAGCCGTGTCGGGGAAGACCTCAAGCGCGCGGAGAAGGATAACGATATAATTTACATCAACCCTGTGCCGCCCAAATCTGAGCTCAAAACGATCGAGCGTGCCAGCATGGTTCTTGCGAAAGCACCATCACAGGTCACTGATGCGATCTCTATGCTTGGCGATAATGGACCGTTGGGCCAGCCACTGTTCTCAAAGTTGGTTCCATACGCAGTTCACATTGCCGCCAGTATTTACACTGATCGTCGAGACCGACTGGTCAATGATACTCTCATTGGAGAGCTAGAGTCGATGACCGACAAGTTGCGAAAGTATGTATTCAACGGAAATAGAATATGTGTTGGGAAAGATTTTACTAACATCACCTCTAAGCTTGCTTTCATCACTCAATTTGCCAGGGTCATTACAGGCGCTCGAAAAACCACTAGGTCTCCCGCCCACGCTTGTGTCGCACGCAGAGGAAATGCGCCAACAAGATGGCCTGAATCGCTTGCACCGGTCTATCGATGACACCGCCAGAGTAAAAGGCAATGATCTGGCTGTGTATAAGGAAGGTGTTGAGCTTCTAGCAGCGGAGAAGGACGAAGACCTTGCAGCTCGTCATAAATACGGCACCGATCGCTGGACCCGCGCGACTTCGGAATCCGCCGCGCCTAAGCTTTACAAGAGTTTGAACGAAATCGACGACTATTTCACCTCCGCCCAAGGCAGTGATGACCTTGTCCAGCGCAAGCTGCGAGATTCACGGTCGGTCTTCATGGTTCTCACTGGCACAAATAGGGACTTGGAATCTTTTGTGCCTAGCAGCCGGAGGGTTGTGATTCCACCCGAGGTTGAGCGCGAGGCTAACCGGTTGCGCGGCTGTTTGAGCGAGGTCACTCGGATGGAGAATCGGCGGAAGCGACGAATTCAAACGTTGAAGGAGAAGGCTCGTGCGGATGATATTCGTACGTGTTTTCCTTTTTCATTAATGTTGACATCTACTAACGGATCGCATTCAGACCCGGCACTTCTAAGACAGACAGCTCGACTGGAGCGGGAATTCCCCATGCAACCTATCCAGGCAAGCCAGTTCGAGGATTTGTTCGAGGAGCAGCTGAAGCTGTATGATTCGGACCGTGAGATTCTGGCCCAGGAGCGGAGAGAGCAAGATCACCTTTCGGACCAGGTCCAAGAAGCTAACCGGGCATTTACTGGGTCTCATAAGGGTGATGCATCGACAAAGGAACGAGAAGCGGCACTCCAGGATCTGGAAAACGGATACCTAAAGTATAAAGAGATCATTTCCAACCTCGATGTCGGGCGAAAGTTTTACAATGATCTTGCAAAGATTGTAGCCAGGTTCCGCGACGACGCAAAGGCTTTTGTCCACCAGCGTCGTATGGAGGCAAGCCAGCTGGAAGCGTATGTGTTCCCCCCCCATCACTAAACCAACAGATTATCCCGAGGTCGCTGACACCAAATTTTCCCGAACCAGAGATATCTTCAATGCCACAGCGATGTCTTCACTGCATATTTCCCAGCCACACCTTCGCCAACAACCTCAGGAATCACCTCGAACCCATCACTCTCCCTCCGCCTACTCAGCAGCACAAGCCGCCCAGGCGCCATCGCAGCCAACCCCACCCGTTCACACCGCACGACCAGCTGAGACAGCACCTCCTCTCACGGCACCCCAACCGGTGCGCGCACCGGTAGCCCCACCCCCAGTTTCTTCGCCAAGCATGCCCGGGGGTATGCCTGGGGGTATGCCGGGTATGTGGGCCCCCGAAATGGGGATTCGATTTGGATCGGCCGGTGCCCCTCCCAATGCTACTCCCAGCACAGCAGCTAGACCAGCCCCGAGCCAGCCCGCCCGTGCTCCTCAGCCAGGGACCTGGGATCCCAGCCAGGGACTGCGCTTCTCTTGATGCTGTTGTGATACAAAACTGTTTAAATCTTATTTTGTAGATCCCACACCATCCCACATAGCTCTAGAGTTTTAGATGTTTAATTTGTCTTGCTCACGATATATGGCACGAGCAATGAGGTACAAGCATAGCCTTGACTGCATATAATTTCCATAGATTGCAGACAACCCCATGGAATGGATTATCTATCTGATTGGAGTTGACCAACTCCCGGTTCAACCTTGGTATTATATATTAACATTAATATATCCGAATATATCGTAGTATGGGTAGACTTAATCGTAACAATTGAGACATCGCAAGCCTGCAATAGCAACAATGAGACAGAGAACAACACATAAAATGGAACCACCATGATACATAGCACAACATGACGGGTGGAATGGACCAAGCAAATATTTCTGTCCAAAGTCGTGGAACAGGGAAGTCAATGCGTGGTAAGGCGCAAGATCAATCAGATATTTCACACAGTTCAAACTAGGAAGCCACAGAAGCACCTCAGCGAGCCCCGTGAGTCTTGACAGCGATACCAGCGCTATCTGTGGCATGCTGGAACTTGCCACTGGGCGATGCACTACCGTTCTGCGAAGCATGGCCATTAATGCCCCCAGCAACCTCGAATTCATCTTGCCCAATTTCAGCCTCATCCGTTTCAGAGCGGTCATCCTTTTTCTCACCCGTTGCGAGAAACTTGAAAGCGCTGCGCAACAGACAGTACAGCCAGAAGAGATTCAGAGCTTGGAGTACAGCCAGAAGTCCGAAGGTGATGACGTTGGAGATCCAGCACTTGTACTGTTGAGTCTCCCAGTTGAGCTCGTAGGGCCCGACGGTTCGGAACTCGGTTAGAAGGGAATAAAGAATTCGAAGATTCAGTACGTGGCGGAGATATATCCAGGCGCCGATCGAGGTTGCATAAAAGGGAATCATTATGTCCGGCGCGATGTAATGGAGAGATTTTGAAACCTGGGGAAATTGTCAATAGATGGCCGGAATGTTTTGGATTGTATCGAAACCAGAAGCACTGGTCTAATCGACTTACAGCAAGGAAGAAATCACTAATATCATGTGTGATATAAACAGCAATACCCATATACGTAAAGTGAAAGCGATAGCTGAGCGCAATAAGAGCCAGTGTCACGATATGATGCGCAACAAGCTCCATAAAATCCTTTCGCCGCTTCTCCATCCCCAACAGCATAACAACAGCCTGCTGCGCCCAGTAAGCCGCTTCGAACAGGTAGTAAAACTTGAACTCGGCCGCATGGGTCCTATGCGGGAAGAGTTCGTACATGCCACGCGTGTTGAAGTACCAGACCGGTGTCTGGCGCATGACATACAACCCTGCGGGGCCGAGCACACCAAAATACAGCATAGTATACGCCTGCTCCATGAAACGGGCCTGCTTTGCTCTGGACTTGATGTGCGAGGCTGCTAGGGGGCGCAGAATTTCTTGCATAATGAATTCGCGCGTGAAGGATAGCACGAGTACGTAGAATGACACGAATGCTATATCCCACAGCCCCTTGCCATACTGCGTGGGGGTACTTGGGTCGCCATTCAGGGATTCCACTCTGTAAGAGAGGAATATAAAATGAGAGATTGGGTTTGACTCGGTCGGGTTGAGTGCGTATAGTGAGAGGCAGGCGAGCACGAGAGCCAGTGGAATCGTCCAGGTGCGCTTACCCGCGAAGCGCTTACAGCGACGGAGAGAAAACGGCTTTTTAGGGCTCGAGATTGGGTTTGTTGAGCTTAATGAACTTGACGGGCTGGCTTGGCCATTTCCAATTGTCTCGGGTCCAGGTGAGCCATTGATATTCCTGCGCCTAAGGACGTCTTCTTTCATTGGCATTTGGTTGGCACCGTTCAGGGGCAATGAACTGGCGGTCATGTTTTGTACTTTGGAGATGGAGTTGAGATGAAAAATATAGAGCAGATGGAGCTAGGATGTACTTCAATGATAAACATAATATAACCGAAATGAGGCTACGCCAATTGGGCTAGTTAAAGGCCGAAGCCCTTTGCAATAAGTTGAAATGTCCCCATTTGGCTAGTCGATCGTATTCGGATATCCCGGGCCCGACCCCGATGCCAAGGAGCCTTTTTCTCTTTGACATGGCCCGGGAGGGAATGAATACAATTTACTGGGACTGAAGCAGCAGTATCTGTTTGAGACATGTTGACCACGGACACTTGGTATACAATCTATACTCTTCTCAACGGGACACCATGGTCGATGAATGCCCCGAGTAATCGTCTTCCCACGTTGAGTGGGAGGAGCAGCCTCGCTTCCTCCGACCAGCTCAGGAGTTTGGTCCGGCAGATACGATCAAATCTCACGGGAGAGCTTTGCTGATCGCTTTGCAACTTTGGGTTTGGTAAATATGCGCCCTGTTCAAAACATCGTGAGGGGCAGCGTAGATGTCACAACCGTAAGACCAGCTTGCCGAATACCAGTATTCTATTTCAAGTACAAGAATCTACTCGAAACAAGTCTCTACCTTTCTGAGAAGCCCGCATATAATGTATAGATACCAGACTATCATATTCAGCTCCTACATAGGACCATTTGTGATCCATTTGAGCCAAGGCCGTTTTTATGTTCTTCCATCTCTCTTACTAAAGACCTGGATATAAATTATTCCCAACTTATACAAATCAATTTACTTTACCAAAAACCCTTTCAGGGGACCAAATGCACTTTCTGCTTGAATTGATCTCTTATGAACATGCCTCTGCCGTTCGTTTGGGTTCTCTGTTCATATGTTGATTTTCTATGTAGATTCCAAAAAAACAAAAACCTCTTTTGTTTTCAAATCTGACCTCATCTTTTCAGTCATTTTAATCTTCATGGCTGGCCTGTGGTCCCCTCCAATGACCCTAGACTCAGCAATCCTAGTGGGACAGCTTCTCGGTCTCCCTTTGTGATCGCAGCTACTCTGGCCGGTATCAATGGAGTGCTACCAATTATTAATGCTGTCATAATCACCTCGGCGTGGTCTTCGGGCAACTCAAACATGCTCGGAGGGACTAGGATATTAATTAGGTTGGCGATGAACAGACAAACCCCAAAGTTCTTCACTCAACTTGACAGATTTTCGGTCCCCTGGATTGTAATCTCGTTCTACGCCCTTTTCATGAGTCTGGAATACATGTCGGTCTCCTCTACTGCCAGCACCATGTTTTATTGGCTACAAGACCTTGTCTCCATAATAACTCTGACCAACTGGCCTACTATTAAGTTTTGCCGGTGCTCAAAAAGAAAGAAATCATGTCTAACTTGTGAAGGTATCAGCTTCTGTGGCGCTTACTATTGATGCGACGTCCTGAATGTGAGATTCTACCCGTAATTTAGAGTTTCAAGGAATGCTCCGTGTATCGACAAACATTCAATGCCCGACTCTTGTGGGGTCCATGAGCCTGAAGTGTATTGTGAATAGAGGTCTGGTGAGCGATTAAATGTCATAAAGCAGGAGTGGAGGGGAGATGGAAATGGCTTCGGGGAAATATCATTGGAACCGTCCACGGGTGGATTTCCCGAAGCTTTCTAACAGCTTCGAGGTGGAATTAGGGCTCAGCACATCACATTCGAGTCCGATTTATTCTCGGGGAGCCCTACTTCTACCGAAAAAGTATCTAAGTAGTACTCGGTGTAAGATATTGTGGATCGAGAAAAAATAAATAAGCTCATCGAATAATAAGCTTAGAAACGTTAGCTTTTACCTAATTTCTCCGTTGGAGTTGGAGTAACTCGCCGTATTTTGACGATATCCTTTATTATACGAAATCCTGCATTGAACAAAGCTACCTCTTACATAACTGTTTACCAATTCTGTCGGAGTTAGTATGGGGAAATTATCTTATTTAGTAGGGCACCCAAGGTTGAAATCTTCGCGCCATTTCTACCCTCCATAATTTCCAATATCCCAGTAAACACACTTTAAAAAAATGGTTCACCACATTCATATCGCCGTCCTAGACGTTGATATTCCAGCTCGCAAATTATACGAGGCTAGAGGGCTCTGCAGTGCCCACTTCCGAACCATCCTCCGCGAGACTGCCTCACGTCTGAATCAGACACTTTTCTCCGAGAAAGAGCAACTCGAAGTCAAGATTACTCCATATGATATCCGAGGAGGCCATTATCCCGACCTATACAAGCTCCGCGGTCATGCAGGCGAGGACCAAATCCCCGTGCAATTCCCAGTGGACGCAGTCTTGATCACTGGCGGCTCACCCGGCGTATACGAAATGGACCATTCTCCATGGATGCAAGAACTCGAGAAATTCGTCAAAATAGTCTACAACCAATACCCGGAAGTCCGTATCCTTGGGACATGCTTCGGACACCAACTTATCTCGCACGCTCTCGTGCGCAACGTGGAAGACCCGGTCCGCGATGTCTGGGTTGAGAAATGCCCTCTCGGTCGTGAGGTCGGAATTTATACCGTTCAATTGGAAAAGGCATTCGTGCAGTCGTTCCCCGGTGCGCTCGGCGATCTTCCCGAGGGACAGTTGCGCATTCAGATGTTCCATGGCGATCGGGTGATGGCCGTTGAGAAGGGAACTGCTGTTACGCTTACCGATTCGCCGCCGGTTTCATTGCCTGCGCCATGGATTAATATTGGAAGTACACCCATCTGCCCTATTCAGGGGCTATACCACCCTGGTAGAGTGCTGTCTGTACAGGGTCATTATGAAATGGATGTCTTTGGCATGACCAAGATGTGCTTGGAATCTGCACCTATCATGGGATGGAAGGAGTCGAAGTTGGCGCTGTTCTTGGAACAAGTCGGGGATGAGCTTGAGGAAGGTCAAGATGATTCCAAGGCTTTTGCCTCTGCTGTGGTATCCTTCTTGGCTGGCTGTGAACAATGACATGTGGAGGGTGAGAAATTAAAGATAAGTGGCATATTTTCTTCCACTCGCGGAGCGAAAATGAATAGAATGAAATTGCAGAATAAAATATACATTATGCCAAAGGCCATACCTGTGCAATGTGGAACTTGGAATCTCCCGCCAAAGCTGCAAGTAATGCATTATATATACAGATCATTCGCTTTTCAAACCATCGAGGCGGGTAGAGCCACTGTAGGCTTCCGATGGCTATTTTTTCAAGAATGTCAAAGCCGCGATGCACAACGCATCCACTCCGGTTCTCATCGTTGGCTGGATCACCGGTGCAAACAAAGCCGAATGATTGCCAGGGATCTCTTCCATGGGTGTTTCTTTTCTCTGGCCCTTATCCCAGAGCTCTGGGTCAATTCCTCCAATGAACCAAAAGGAGCAAGGAAGTCCCTGAGAAGTACCCAACGTGGAGAAATCCTCGCTAACATTGGTCCTTGGAGTATCATCATCAAAGTCGTCGAAATGGTCTGCGAAGGACGCGGCCAGTTGGGAGGCCACCTGTTTATCGTTGTCGGTGGGCGGAAACCGCCTCGTTGGTGTGAACAACGGCGGTTTTGGCGACCCACTGGCAATACACTCGGCTTCAACAATGCGCCGGATAGCAGAAATTATTTTCTCCCTAGTCTCCAACTTGACAGTTCTAAAATCAACGCCAATTTCCGCCCGATCCGCAATGATATTTTCCGTCTGCCCGGCCTGCAGGCTCCCGACCGTCACGACAGCAAGATCACTCGGATCCACCTCTCTACTCACAATGTCTTGAAGCCTAACAACAACATGTGCAGCAAGGAGCACGGGGTCTACGGTCTGATGTGGCATTGACCCATGACCACCGCGGCCGTACAGTGTGATCTTCAAACTATCGGCAGCAGCCATGATCGTGCCAGGCCGGGAACCAACACTTCCCGCTCGCATTCGCATGACGTGCTGGCCAAAGACGTAATCGGGCATGGGGATCTTGGAGTAAAGTCCATCGTCAACCATTGCCTGGGCGCCTCCGCCCCGCTCTTCGTTCGGCTGGAAGAGTACAATCAAAGTCCCGCTCCACGCTGTCTGTGTACGGGCCAAAATTTCAGCAGCTGCGAGGAGACATGTAATGTGCATATCATGGCCACATGCATGCATCACTGGTTTTTCATTGCCGTCGGCATCAGACATAGTCACCGAACTCGCGTAGGGGAGTCCGGTGAGTTCCTTGACTGGAAGCGCGTCCATGTCAGCGCGAAGAAGAATTGTCTTTCCAGCGCCATTCTTCAGAACCCCTACGAGGCCGTACCCTCCGATATTTGTGTGGATCTCATAGGCTCCGAGCTGAGACAAATGCGTAGCGATGGTTTCAGAGGTGGCCTTCTCTTGTAGCGACAGCTCAGGGTGCGTATGGAAATGCTTGTAGAGAGCTTCATAAGGGGCCAAATCCACTGCGGCAGTGGCTAATATGTCTGACAACGTCTTTTGAGTCATTTTGTGGATGATGTGCTAGGAAACTGTCGTGAGGGGAACTGATGCTCTGCCCCCGGACGGGGCAGGAAGGGAGATTATTCAGCCAAGGGGCCCCGGGCTCTAGGGGACCCCCACCTGCGAGAACACGCCATGACTCATCTTATCCACATAAACAGCCTCCGATATAAGACACTTGAACGGATATAAAATGGCCTTTGCATATCGACATTTAATATTGACCAGTTCGCACATTCTTCCCGGACAGCCGTTCAGTCTTTGAACAAGAGGCAGCCAAATCGTATCGTGGGGTTTAGATTGTGTAGGGGCCAACTCTACCTGTACCTATACTAGCCGTGTCTTTCGTTTCATCGAAGGGCCAGCATCGCCCTCAATAAGCGTGTTTCAAAAATGCATATCATGCGAATGTATCGGACTTTGCAAAAGTTGGTGCTTCTACCAGTGGGACTTGGCAATCAGCTGCCACTGCTATTGTAGGGTTCATGATGTTATTGGATGTTGATGGGTCGAAAGAATGTCATATACGGACCTCGGAAGAGACAGAGAGATTGGGAAGTGCGAACAGTACGAATTGGAAGGAACTACCGCCCCAGAAAATCAGGAATCTTAGCCAACCTAAGCTCTGAAGGTCAGTTCAATATCACTCTACATCTCGTACCTTGAGGTGGGAAAACTTTCAAAGGAAACTTTCCAATTAGAATGGACTAATAAATCCACTATTATCAAAACTAAATACATAACATGCATCTGGCGAATAAATCAAAAACGCAGCAAAGCCATTCTAAAGGAGTGGTGCGAAAGCAGCCCACAATAGACCCATTAAGCCAACACGAGGAATATTTATGGACCGTGCCGCATTGTAGGACGGAGAAGGTGCAGAGGTAGTTGTTGAATCAGTCTGACTTCCGCGACCCGCGCCCGATGTGCTGCCCGAAGCATTATCAGATGTGCTTTCATCGCCTGATCCTGCGTCCAGAGTGCTCGACGTGGTCTTTATTGAGCCGGGCAATGAAGTTGTAATAAGCGAGCCAGATACCGAAGTCGTGATAATTGACCTAGGTACTGAGCTTGTCACGAGCGAGCCTGACGTTGAGATTGTCACAACATGTCCAGAGAAGGAAGTTGTTACCACTGAGCCGGTTGTTTCCTCTCTCTCAGTGCCAGTAGTGCTTTTGTCGGTGGACTGAGTGCTCTTTGACACGGTATTTGTAGGCTCAGCTGTCGTCTCTTCAGTGCTGGGGACTTTGGTTCTGGTGGCTTGGGTACCTGTGACTGTGGCTGCTGTCGTTGCTTCGGTGCTTGTAGTAGTGGTTCTATCGGTGACCCGGGTGGTCGTCGTCGGGGTTTTTGTTTTAGTGCTAGTGGTACTTTCTTGTGTCGTGGAAGTGACCATATCGGAGCAGTAATTCAGCCACTGTACAAACGTCGGTAACATTTTGGATGAATATGCATCGGAACCAGATTCGCCGTTGTTGGTGATGCATTCCTCGCAAACACCCAAATTTTCCATGAACGGCGAGTCGCTCTTGCAAAGCTCGGATGTCTTTCCAAGCTTTTCCGGTACAAGCGCAGCACCGTTGCAATCATTGTAACACACATCAGGAATGTTCGTTATATCAGCCCTTTTTGTATTTTGGGCGACATCGAAGTCCCACAGGGACATGTAGCGTTTACTGTTGGCTGCAGATGGGTCTTCCGACAAATGGAAGATGGAGTAGTCGAGACCGAAGTCCTCCGGGTTGAGGTTGTAATAATTGTTCGAGACATTGTACTGCCAAGATGGATGGACGTCCAGAGGCGGGGCCACAATGCAGTCTGAGGGATTGCAGACGTATCCGGGCTCAGGGAGACCTGCTTCCACGTTGCATCCCGAGCGGTCACCTGTATGAGGTGGCTTGCAGAGATACCCGGGTGCGCAGCCCCAGGTATAGTCATCTGGCAACACAGCAGAGGGTGTGTAGGATGGATTACTGGTAAGACTGGAGCATACAGAGGCAGATATCGTGGTGGTAGTACTAGATGGGGGAACTGTTTTGGTTGTTGGTGATTCTGGTAGTGTTAGCTGTTGTAATAATACCGAATTTTGCATGCGTGATAACGTACCTGGGATAGTGACAGTGGTAACGCTTGAAGTGGTTATAGGTGTCGATGTCGTTGTAGTTGATGTCGTTGTTGTTGTCGTTGTCGTTAATGTCGTCGTAGTTGATGTCGTTGTGGTTATAGGCGTCGTTGTCGATGTCGTTGTCGTTGTGGTGGTTATAGGTGTGGTTGTGCTTGTGGGTGTTGATGTAGTTGTAGATGTCGTTGTCGTTGATGTCGTTGTCGTTGATGTCGTTGTGGTTGATGTCGTTGTCGTTGATGTCGTTGTGGTTGATGTCGTTGTGGTTATAGGTGTCGTTGTCGATGTCGTTGTCGTTGTGGTGGTTATAGGTGTGGTTGTGCTTGTGGGTGTTGATGTAGTTGTAGATGTAGTTGTGGTTATAGGTGTCGACGTGGTTGTAGATGTCGATGTCGTTGTCGTTGATGTCGTTGTCGTTGATGTCGTTGTCGTTGATGTCGTTGTAGTTGATGTCGTTGTGGTTATAGGCGTCGTTGTCGATGTCGTTGTCGTTGTGGTGGTTATAGGTGTGGTTGTGGTTGTGGTTGTGGGTGTCGACGTGGTTGTAGATGTTGTAGTTGATGTGGTGGTGGTTATAGGTGTCGATGTTGATGTGGATGTGGACGTGGTTGTACACGTGGTTGTGGTTATAGGTGTCGTCGATGTCGTTGTCGTTGTGGTTATTGGCGTTGATGTCGTTGTAGATGTGGATGTCGTCGTGCACCTGGTTGTCGTTGTAGGCGTCGATGTCGTCGTGCACCTGGTTGTCGTTGTAGGTGTCGATGAGGTTGTTGGTGTTGATGTCAAGTCATCTGTGCATGTACACGATGTAATGGTCTCGGTTGTGTAATCCGTAATTGTTTCTATAGGACCAATTTTGGGCAGCGCTATACCCACACTCGCGGCGGCAGCCACCGGTCCAATACCAACATCGGCAATGACATTCAGAGTCGGACCATTTCGACAACCACTAACAGTCTTGGTCGTAGCCTCAGTAATAGTAATTGCAGTGGCGCCTGGAGAGATATTTCCAGTCTGCGTAGCAGTTTCGGTAGCTGTTTCAGCGGTGCATGACCTGTCATCACCAAGCCAAAGTGTAACTCCGATTCTTACTATGGCAGGCAATCCGTCCACCTTTTCTGGCAGTGTGGGAGGTTTGTTGATTAAGCTATGACTTGATGTCACCAAAGCGAAGATAGTCGCCAACAGCGACAACCAAGCGACCGTATCCTTCATGTTTACCTGTCTGTAGAAGGAATTTCGAGGATGTCAAGGTAGACTACACAAAGAAAATCGAAGGAATTAGCAGACATCAATACATACGCACGGTCCCCTGAATCAAGAACGCCCAACCCCACGAGGCTCAAAATGTGCCGCAGTCGCATCCGATGGGCATCAGCTCGGACAGCATAGCCCCATAGCGACATAGTTTATGAGAAAATAATATCCCGTCCCGTATAATTATGCATCTAATGCGGTCGAGAACTAGCAAAAGTACGTAGGGTCCCTCCAGTTGATGGGTTGTATTTTCCGTAGCTGCACCCTAGCCATGCATCAACACAAGCATGGTAATGATCAGACCACTCGGGCCATAAGCTGAGCGGGCTCACTGCGTCGCATCTTTCCTTTTTCTGTTTTTTTACCTTGAGCTACTTCGTATTCAAAGCGGGGACAATTGACAACAAAGACGATCTGAAAACAAAGCCGCATGACAAGTTCCGAGACCCCGCCCCTTGCCTTTTGCATTTGGATATCCAAAAAAAAAATATCTATGGGACCTATCATCTCGCAAATTCCAACTGATGATCTCAACCATCTCAACTGAAAAATGTGGTTTCTTTTGGGGACGGTGCTGGTGCTGGTAGACAGCGCAGTGGCCGTATGTAGTAATAATCAGACTCAAGTCAATTTTTCCATGTGCAACTGGCAAGGCCTACGTGGTAGGCACTTCATCTTTTCAAATTGCTTCTTTTTTACTGACCCGGGTAGCGAATATCCTGCGCGATACAATCTTCCTCGATGGTGGGCAGCTATGGTATCAAAGGTATGAGCTTGTCCGTCAAAGATAATTTTCCCTAACAAGTCCAGAGAGTATGATGATGGTTGCGTTCAACCCCAACCGGATGATAGTAAGCGCAACTGAATGGATATTTTACAAAGCTAACTAGCAGCAGATGTGAAATCCACCATCCGTTACCTAAATCTTACCACTTCTTTCAACACTACATCGGATTTCATGCATATCCTCAAAGATATGCTTGTCGTTGGCGGTTCTACTAGTTTAGCTCCGACTTACGTTGATGGCACAATGTTGGCCAATGACAACGAGTTCTATCTCTATGGGTTGGCGTCCCTCGTCTCTCCCTCGTCGAATGACTCACTGACTCTGAGGCTCTGTATTGCAGAGGCATGCTTCTTGATAACGGAAATCCTAAGCCTCCGTCAGCTAATGAGGTCCTGACGTACGCCGCGCACCAATATGGCGCTTATAGAACCTCGTGGGCGCCCGGCTGGAACCAAGAATATCTCCCTACAAATGTCACACGGTATATCACCAATGGCGCTGCCGCTTCCGCACCCAGTGAGAACCTAGGCTTTTACTTCAGTGGGATGCGTGCGCAGGACTGGGGCGATTTCAATCTAAGACAGCAACAATCCAATCAAACAGCCGATACGCTAATCACCCTGGACATGTCGGTGCTGAACGACGCGAAGTGGACAAACGACACACTGCCGAGCTATATTCCTGCCCGTTCCAATGCGGAACTGGTCTGGGTACCTGTATCCAAGTCCGGAGTTTTAGTTGCCATTGGCGGAGTGATTGATCCCATTCTGTTTTTCAGGAATGACAAAGCAAACTCATCACGGACGGCAGAGAGCAAAAGGATTAGCCCGACATTCATGGACACTGTCTCTGTCTTCGATGTCGAGAGTAAAACCTGGTATCTCCAGAAAACGAAGGGTGATATACCGCCGCAGTTGACGGAGTTCTGCTCTGTACTTGCAAGTGCGGAAGATGGATCATCTCATAATATCTACATCTATGGGGGGTATGACGGTCTCAAGTATAACGCCAACCCGTCCGACGACGTGTATATATTGTCTCTGCCTTCCTTCGAGTGGTTCAAAGCGTACAGCGGTACAAACAAACACAGTCGCAGTGGTCATCGATGCATCAAAGTATATCCCGATCAAATGCTGGCAGTTGGAGGTCAACATGTCGACTCGACTCGGTGCTTGGAGGGCGGTGTCATTGTCAACTTTAATCTCAACACCCTGAAATTTGAGGATGAATATGATCCCGCAAAGTGGAGTAAGTACAAAGTACCAGATCTTGTGACAAAGCATATAGGCGGCAAGTGAGTATAGACCCAGCAGTGCAGAAAGCGAATGGTCATGGCTGACACCTTATTAGCTCCGATGGAGGTGCAACCGTCACCGCTCCATCATCATGGACCAACAGCTCTCTAGGGACAGTTTTTGGCAAGAAGTACAGCAAGATTGTCAAGACATATTGGCCATACAATAGCACAAGCAACGATACCAGCGCTAGTGGCTCCGTGGAAGATCACAACGGGCGCAGCGGATTCCCCAGCTGGGCTGGTGGAGTAATCGGCGCAGTCTTGGGTCTCCTCATCATTGCGGTCCTTGTCGGACTCTTCTTCCTTCGCCGACGTCACCGTAAACGCAAGGCTGCGGAAGCCGAATCAGAAGCCATAGAGGCTAAAAATAGGAACAGTCGCCCAGAATGGATGTACGCGAGCGGCCCAGCCTCCTCTGGACTGGGGCCAGGATCTGAGACAGGGCAGACAGTACAGACAATGAATACCACGCCAACTCAGCGCTCAACAACACAGCCATCGATGACACAGGCTTCAACTGTGCCGGATTCCTTCGTCTCGCCCGCGACCCCTGGCACGGTAGAATCTGGAGGAGGTGCGCTATATGAGATGCAGGGTATGTTGATGACTTTCTTTATTCAACCCCCGATAGAAAATAAGATACCGAGTACTGTTACTGACGTCCATCCAGATTCATCACCCGTTGAACTCCCCACGCCATTCAACGCCCCCTCCGTCGCCCAGGGTATAACTCCGAAGCCCGATCCGAGACGAGGCTCCCAATCTCCTGTCTCACCGCAAACTTATAGTGAGACGGGCTCGGAGTACTCCTATCCAACAGGCCACAGCCGGCGCCCATCTTCACTGTCAATAGCATCGCCAACGTCGATTGAGAACGTGATGAGCGGTCGGCCGTCGCATTTTTATGAATCTTTTGATAGTTCAGATAACCGGCGAGCAGCCCATCGATCTGATGTTTCCCAGCTGACCGACCATTCAGAAGAGAAGGGGTGGAAAGAGGGCAGTGCGACGATTCGTGAGGATGAATAAAATGAATATCATATATATATATATCTGAGATCTAATATGGTGATAACATTTGCATGTGAAATAGAGAGATCGGTCAGTTTGCTCGTGGTCAACTTGTTTGTGTCATAATTTCATAATAACGAAAGTGATTTGCAGGGCTAAAGTACAAAATTCCCAAATATAAGCCCGAGTCACGTCAATATACTCCGTCGAACCGCATGCTGGGTATATTGACCCGTCATATTTGGATCCCGACCATACACGCCAGTTGCAGCCAAAGTGGCCAATGATACAGGTATCTCAAAATGCTTGTTGACAGCCGAGCTCAGTGGAGAATCCGGTTCCCAAGGTGAGTTGAGTATATTAACTGTCGCTCGCCCGGCAACGAATTGGGGTTCTCGATCTAGAACATGTGAGCTTGGAAACACAGATGTCAATGAACTGGCTGGCAATACCTTTAATCGGAGGTTGAAAAACTAGAACAGGCTGACCATCCTCATCCCGGGAAGGAGATTTGTCGCCCTTGTCTCGCATATCCCATCTTCGCTTCGATCGTGGGGGTATAGATTCTTTCACGGGCTTCTCGGCTCCCGAGAACTTCCCTCGGGAGGCGATACCAGCCCCCCAGCGCAATCGGATCTCGTATCCCTCACAAGTGAGCCCCTTGGAACTACATTTTTGACAGCCTGGGCGTAATTCATCGCACTGGATCCTCCTTTTCTTGCAGGTCCAGCATCCCTTGAAAGAGCGATGACGGTGGGAATCCTTTTGCTTCTCGGTCGGAGGCATGTTGAGAAAGCGTTTGTCAAGGCAAATAATAGTAAGGTCCAAAAGCCCCAGGAAATCCTAGAACTCACGCATATATATTCGTGCGAGGGTTGGTGCTATACGCATCCTCGGATTGTGATTGGCCGAACAAAGATCTCAGTGAGCGAAATAATACTTTCTGACCTCCTATAGGGAGTGCTTCCCCAGTGATTGACAAAGACATATTTCACTAATTGCCTCAAATTGCGCCAAAAGGTATCTCATATGCGACCCAGGGGAGATGGTCCAGTTTGAAGTTGAATGTTAGTGCTTGGATGTGTTTACGTTTTAGGCAGGTCCATGCATGAAAACAAGCTTGACTTCTTCTCCACTGACAATTCTAACACTTTCACAGTCAATAATTATGAATTCTGAGGGATTACATTGAGGCGTTGCGACCGTTATGTTCAACTCGTGGACAGCCCCTATGTGTCACAAAATCAGAATTTCACCGCCAATTCCTTATATGGATATTTATATTTCCAAACATCATATATCAACATTGCATATAACAACCCGCATCTACCTTCCACAGAGGGAATGTTCAGTATTCGTGGAATGTGGGGTAAAAAAAAACTGGAGCTCTACACAGACCTGAGTGAAATGGCTCTACGTTTTCGATCTACCATGTGGGCCACGCTCGGTGAATCTCCAGTAGGAGTGCCCCTCTCTATGGCCCCCGAGGCCGACACATATGGGGTTCTCCAGAAAAAATGACAAAAACCCCGGGTTTTGTGAATGAAGTGCGGGACATCCAGTTCCTACAACTGTTCCAGCGACCCCATTCTTAGATCCAGTATCTCGCCTTCACAACAGCGTCAATTACGTTGTTGGGAAATGACCCTCGGGCGAATAATCTAAACCCCCCTTTGGTCCTTGCTCCCAAACCTCCCCTCCCTCACAATGGACGTGGAAACCGAAGCAACCCTCAAACCAATTGACCAAAGCACGCAAGATGCCAACGACCTCGCTGAACTCGGCCACGCGCAAATCCTGGCCCGCAGGTTCAACATCTGGAGCATGCTAGCTTTAGCATTCTGCGTGCTAGGAACATGGTCAACCTTCGCACAGGATCTTGCCGACGGTCTGGTCAACGGCGGCCCTGTCTCCATCCTGTGGGGACTGGCTCTTGTTACATTTTGCAACACCTGTGTAGCGCTCTCACTGGGCGAGATCTGCAGCAGCATGCCCACCGCCCTTGGACAGGCATATTGGGTCTACCGTCTCTGGGACTCACCCTTCGGACGGTTCCTATCGTACATGTGTGCTTGGATCAATGTTTTTGGGTGGTGGACACTGGCCGCCTCGCAGGTGGCATTTATGACCAATTTCCTTCTCGGTATGAAGCTCATGTTCAGTCCAGCCTGGACTGGTGCGTCGAAGGGGTGGCTTGAGTTTGTGGTTTATATTGCATGTGTCTTTGCCCTCACACTGATCAATGTGATGGGCTGTCGGAAGGAGAAATTTCTGCCATGGCTGAACAATTTTGTCGGAGTCTGGTTCTTTGGACTATTCTTTGTTTTTTGTCTTGCCCTGCTGATTTCAGTGGGAACGAAAGAAGGTCTCTCCTACCAGCCTGCCTCTTTCGCGTTTGGAAAATGGATCAACCAAACCGGCTGGCCCGATGGCGTTGTCTGGTTTATTGGTCTAGTCCAGGCGGCATATGGACTGACTGCCTTTGACGCCGTTATTCACTTGGTAGAAGAGATCCCTGCACCTCGCAAGAACGCCCCGAAGGTGATTTATCTCTCCGTGATCTCCGGAGCGGTAAGCGGTTTTATCTTGATGATGGTCTGCCTCTTCTGTATTCAAAAGGTGAATACAGTGGTGGACTCACCTAGCGGCCTACCGTTCATGGAACTCGTCCAAGAAACCGTGGGTCAGAGTGGCGGTGCAGTGCTCATTGCCTTGTTTATCACAAACGGCCTCGGTCAGGGAATTAGCATTGTGACCACGGCATCCCGCCTCACCTGGGGCTTTGCCCGTGACGGTGGACTTCCATTTAGCGCCTACCTATCGGAAGTCAGTCCTTACTGGAAATCCCCCGTCAGGGCACTCTGGTTCCAGGGGGCAATTATAGCACTGGTTGGTGTCTTGTTCCTGTTTGCAGAGACAGTGTTAAACGCGATCCTCAGCGTCAGCACCATCGCCTTGACCATCTCGTACGGGCTTCCCATCATGACTCTACTACTAATGGGCCGTGACAAACTCCCACATGGTGGCCAGTTCAATCTTGGGAGACTAGGTGCACCGGTAAACTGGGTCTCCCTTGTGTATTGCTGTGTGACGACCGTCTTCTTTTTCTTCCCTAGCGCCCCCAACCCTTCGGGGGGTGATATGAATTATGCTATTGGTGTGTTTGGTGTCATGCTTGTTATCGCTGTGTCGTTCTGGTTCGTCCAGGGCAGTCGCACCTATCTCAACACTGAGGAGTCGATTACTCAGGTCATTCAAGCCCATATGGTTGCCAATGATCCGCTTCCTGGGCCAAAAAAGGAAGATCGATGAGAGGTTGTATTGCATGATGCTGATCAAAACTTCCATCCAACATTGCTCCAGGCGATGCTGCCGACTCCCGGTCCTGCAATCTTCAGACATGATCCATTTAATGACATTGAGGGGCATGAAAGAATCTGTTCAAACAGTACGGCTGTTGTTGCGGTTTACGAGGGCATTTTGAAGACCCTGGCGCAGGTGGACCTTGACATTCAGACATTGGAAGAGATGGTTGTGGATCATGGACATACTGTGGAATTCTGGGGCGAGGGCGATGCTGCATAAGGGAAGGACGCTGGATCGCAGCAGTCATTTTGGCTGTGGGATACCGAATAGTGTGTGGGCTGTCGTGCGCCTTGCCCTCCTCTCCTTTCACATTTGATAGGCAAATATTCGTTTCCCCTGGCTAGCACTAGATGCCAAACATGAATCTGCAAACCTAGTAATACCTTGTTTCCCTCTCTACAACAAAAGTTTCGATGTGCTGCTTCAGATGTCACTATGTAGTTTCTATATCAACGGTAGTAAAAACGTTATTTAGTAGGAAATACCAAATCTGATTTTAGTAATATAAGAGCAGAAAGCAAGGCTAAGAGCAAGAAACAAGGTAAGTATTTTCCTTGGTGAGCATCGCCATATGTTAAGTGTTCAATTTTGCTATGTACAATATAATAAGTCCTTTCTGTAGATTTCAAGTCCTTCAAGTCCCGCCCTCAAAGCTTAGACTTCATGTTTACATGAATAGCTTTAATATTCGAGTAGGCCGCAAGGCCAGCCTCCCCAAGCTCACGACCAATACCGGATTGCTTCACGCCACCGAATGGAATACGCCAATCGCTATCATTGCTAGAGTTGATCCAGACCATACCAGCCTCAATCTTCTTGGCCACGCGATGCGCCCGAGTCAGGTTCGTCGTGAACAGCGCACTTCCAAGACCATAAGTCGAGTCATTGGCCATCTCAATAGCATCCTTCTCTTCGCTGAATCGGGCAATCACCACGAAAGGACCAAAGACCTCTTCTTGGTAGATACGCATCTTGGGCGTAACATCGGTGAAAATAGTAGGCTCAACAAAGAAACCCTTGCCATCACCAACACCAGTGAAAGGCTTGCCACCCGCAACCAGAGTAGCCTTCTCAGACTTACCGACATCAATGTAAGACATGATGCGGTCATACTGAGCCTGCGTCACCTGCGGGCCTTGGAACGTCGACTGCTCGAACGGATCTCCGACCTTAGAGACATTCTTAACCTGAGCCTTAAATGCCTCCAAGAAGCGGTCGTAGATCTCATCCTGTACCAGAATGCGGGATGTGGCTGTGCAGATCTGGCCCTGGTTGTACATGATACCGATATGGGCCCACTCAACGGCTTGCTCGAGATCCGCATCATTAAACACAATCAGTGGGCTCTTACCACCCGTCTCTAGGGTGATATTCTTCAAATTCACGCTGGCCATCTTCATAATTTGCTTAGCTGTCGCGGTGCTTCCTGTAAAGGCGATCTTGTCCACATCCGTGTGCGACGCGAGCGCGGCTCCAGCGACGGCGCCGTGTCCATTCACGATGTTCACGACACCGGGAGGGAAGCCTGCTTCCACGATGAGATTGGCAAGGAAGAGGATTGAGAGAGGGGTTTGCTCCGCTGGCTTGAGAACGACTGTGTTTCCGCAGGCGAGGGCTGGGCCGAGCTTCCAGGCGGCCATGGCGAGGGGGAA